GCATATTCGTCCGCCGTGTTGGGACAAAAATTTGTAGTATGGGCTGTGGAGGAGCAGTATGCACAAGCTGGTGTTCTTAGACCTGCAAAGTGTCTGCAAAAAATGACGGTATCAATCCTTCCCCAGTTGGATCATGTTCCGTACTGGGAGAAGGCTCCAGACACTTTTGCAGAAAAAGACCTATGGTAGTCATAGAAGGCTGAACCACCATATTTGTTGCCCAGGTCTACCAGCTTGTGCATATAGAGATCAAACTCCTCTCTTCTGTTGGGATAGACCACACAGATGACATCCCTGTAAATACCAAAAGCTAGTACAAATTCAGGGATAGTCAGTTTCCTGTTCAGGCGGGCATCCCTAGATCTGACAACAACAGATACATCATCATAAGCATACGTCTTATTCTCAACAATATCCTGGGAGGCAATCAACAGGGAAGCCAGGTTGATGTCTTTACCTTCCCTTTTAATGTGCTCAGGTATCATATGAGCCAGACTAACTTCCTGGTCATCCAGGGTGATGGCTGGAGCAACTAATAACAAGTCGGCTGGTGCTTGTGAAGCAGCAGCGGGTGGCCCTGCTAGAGTAAGGACCGTGGTGACCGACTCAAGTTTCCCAGCCTGGAGTTGACCTTGCTCATGGACGCCATGAGTGAGGATAACATGGCATGTATGTCTCCTGGGTTGGACTGGCTAGGTCCTTCCCCGGCATCCATGTTATTTGTCGATGTGCGTAGCAGTTTGAAAAGTTCTGCTTTCCTAGCTATAGCGGGGTAAGGGATTTGTCGTCTCCTCAATTCCGTGGTTATACGCGGGATCGTCCAGGATCTGATCGATGCTGGACTAGCTAGCTCTCCTCCTTGTGTGGGAGTGACAGCTCTAGCCGGGGTGCTAGGCAGGGAGAAATCCTCTACCCCTTCCTGAGACATACTATAAATAAAACAATTAATTAGTATATGAAGCCACCAAATTGTACTGGCAGGCTAGCTAGGCTGGATTGCGAAACATTATACTTGTTTGGTGACAGATGAGGCCCTGCTAATTGCCAAGCGGCTATGCGTTGGCGCGAGGGGTTATTGAGGCCACTCGACGTAGTGGCAGGAGTTTTAGGCCTCTCAGTGACTGTAAGACAGGAAACGGGGGAAGGGAGTGACAGGTGAGGCTCTCTCTATGCAACATGCGAGGCGGCTAGCTAACGTGTGGCCCAATGGGTGTTTGCCTCTGAAACGTTTGAGGCGGGGTGTTGGCCTCGCGGGACCACTAACTGATGGCAACTGCCAAGACGGGGTAAATACCTATTGGGAAGCCTGTGACCCTATTGCCAGTACTCTAACCTAGGGGGACGAAATGAAATGTATGGTAGAATACCATATGAGCAGGTGTACGTACCTGGTAGTATGACAAATTCACCGGAATAAACTGTGTGGAACAAATATATATAAGCTTGACAGCCTGAAATGGGTAAAAGAGAGTAGTATGATGAGTGTGGATTGTTGGAAAGAAAACAGCCTTATAGCCTGTAGCAGCAATGTTTGAAAATGTTGATACCATGGGAATAGATATGAGTTACTCAGAAAAGTTGTCATGCTTAAATAAGACATCTGAGGGAGGCCGTGGCCTATGTACAAACAACATATGTGTTATATGATATTGTGTAAGGGAAACATAAAATGTAGGTAATATATGTATATTACTGTGCAGGAAACGTATGATTGGTTGGATCAGTACGTGTGATTCAACCCGATTATGCATGAAAGGAATTAAATCCTTATGTGTCATGGTCATAACAAAGAAATGAGGCCTGTAACGTAGGCTGAGTTAATTGAATTGAATAATTATGAAAACTCCTGTAAGCGTGGGAGTTCAATGATTCTTACAGAAATGTAGCTGGTTTAATAGAAAAGAACATGGATGAGGGTCATGGCCTATTTTACACAGCGTTATGTGTGATATGTAGTAGAATAACAAAAGAGGCAGGGATACACAAAATGCTTAAAGTGATATATATGATATATCTGTATTGAAAAAGACGTATGATTGGTTGGATCAGTTAAACCCGAGAATTTATTGCTTGTAAAAAACTGTATCCTTTTGTATGTGTTGTAGTAATAACACAGAAATGAGGCCTGTAATGTAGGCTGAGCCCATTTGGATAAATGGATAAGTAATGCAGACCCCTGAAAGCGTGGGAGTCAAAATGCTCTATACAGATAAGGGAGCTTGGTTGTATGGACATAATACAATACTGAAACATTTAAAGGGTAATAGAAATAATCTGTCTATTTAAACAAGCAATTCGTTAACCGAATATACATGAAATGGTGAATATAATCCACAAAAGGATTAAGCGTAATACATAGAAATACAACCGAATCCCAATGTGAGGGAAAACAGAAGTTGGAACGAATAGTTTAAACGTATGAATTTATGTGAACCGCAAGCGTGTTTGAAACGTGTATTGAAAATTGCCGAACGGCAAAACAACCGAATTGATAATCCGTTTCAATGTAACTTGGAATAGTTATATGCGAAATGACTATTTGTACGAATATACTGTTCAGCCGAATGACCGTATGAATGAAAACCCGCGAACGGCTTGTACCATTCATGACATAACAGGGAAAAACCGTAAAGTGAGGACCCGTGCTGTACCGTACGCCGTGGGAACCGGTCCTGGCGTGACAGGTAGGTCCGACTTACGGTTTAGTTGTTCCTGGGACGCGATCTACGACGAAGACCGGGGTCAGAAGAAGCTGGACGGTGGAAAAGGCCTGAACAGGATTCCTGGACACAGCTATCGCGGTAAAACCCTCGTGGATACTTGAAACCAAGATGGCATCTGAGAGAACCCGGAAGTGGATCGTCATTCAACGCTGACCTCGAACGGTAAGGAGCCAGGTAAGGAGAGTGCCTTAAATAGGCTAGGGGTAGCAAACCAGCACCTCCCACAAATCCAGGCAAATTGCCTTAATACATATGTAAAATCTGAATTGTTGCATATACCAAGAAACAGTTTAGTTCTATTCTTCTCCTCCCCCCCTCTTTCCTAAAGGGACACTCCAGGCACCCAGACTACTTCTGCCCATTGGAGTTGTCTGGGTGCCAACTCCCAACACCCTTAACCCTGCAAGTGTAATTATTGCAGTTTTATAAACTGCAATAAAAATTACCTTGCAGGGTTAAGTCCTCCTCTAGTGGCACCACTAGAGGGACTTCCAGGTTCTTAAAACACGAAAACTGTTTTAACCCCTTAATGGCCAAACTTCTGGAATAAAAGGGAATCATGACATGTGTCCTTAAGGGGTTAAATGATGCTGACATCCTCACGCTATGCATGAGGACCTCTAGCGTCACCAGAATCCCCACAGGAAAGTCTAATACGCACATGCGGCCATTGCCGCGCATGCACATTAGGTCTCCCCCGTGGGCGGAGCCTGACCCAGCACCAAGGGACATTGGTGCTGGATTCAGGTAAGTCACTGAAAGGGTTTTAACTCCTTCAGCAACATGGGTTAAGGGGAACTGCAGGATTTTGCAGTGCCAGGAAAACTGATTTGTTTTTATGGCACTGGAGAGTCCCTTAAAGTAAAGGAAGAACATTCAAGCAGAGGAATTTCCAGATTGACAGTGGAAGAATTTCCATAAATTCATACAACGCATGCTTAAAAACCAATTGTGAGTGGCACTAGATGTCAGCCAATGCATTTTTTTTTTTATATTACACAATAAAAAGGACACCAATTTATTTTATGAAAAACAGATTTATTCCAAAGAGTTTAAAAGGTGTATTACATCCCTGCCATGCAGATTTTATTTTTGAAATGGGATATAGAAATATATCCTAGTGTCATACACTCATTCAAAAGAGGTTCGCTCACACTAAAAAAATAAAGCAGTTTGCTTTCTGTGATTAGGGGGATATTAAAAATAAAATTTAATAAGAATTATAAAACTCACAAAGAGTCGGAACAAGGAAAGTATGTTTTCTGGACTTTGTGTCTGCCTCCTTAAGTAAAAACCATATTGACAGAAAAGCACAGGGAACAGTGTTGATTGTATAGCTATTTTACGTGTAATGAGGAAAAACAGCACAACAAACTGCAGAGATGGTAGACAAAGATGTAGAAATATACATGTAATGGCAAACTACAGACAGATATGCATGGGTTAATATGCCCCTCACATGGTGGCAGACAAAGGGCACAAAATAAAATTAAAAAAATAATTTGTTTGGAGGTGGTGCAGTCAACGGGGAAGCAGTTCATATGTCAGGTGGTCAGCTGCGATTTTTCACCAATAGAACAGTGTGTTGTCCTCCACTGGACACTGATAAGACTTCCCGATTTTCAAGCTGCTTCCCTGTCATTTCATATGGGCTCCAGACATCTTCCTCTTCACCAGTGCCCAGTTGCTGGTTGGTTCCCATTCCCCAAGAAAAGACATGACCTGAATTAAGAAGGTAATGCAGAAAACATGTTACGAAAGACAGGATATAGATGCAATGAGCAACACATTCATATACAAGAATGACACTCACCATCCCTAGTAACAGCATAACTGACTGATGCACCACAGGCTACAGATGCAATTTTGGGTAAATCTGGAATCACAGAAGGTTCACTTTTCTCCTCTGCCTGTTCTCCAAGCCCAAGTCGGCCATATTCTGAGCGACCAAGACTATATGCTTTTCCTGGAAGAAAAATAGAAAATAAATAAAAAGGCAAGATCTTGTGGGTTGTCATCTACACATTAGAACACAAGAGGGAGACTTTGGTTACAGACAGATCACAAGAACAGTCAGGGGATCTTACCATCTGAGTCCACACAGATGGTGTGGTGCTGCCCCCCAGAAAAGCCTACCCAGGACTTAGTAGAATTTTTGAAAGAAGTCAGGTTTTGAGGTGCAAAGCAGGAATTTGTGCTCTTTGTACCTATGGAGAAGGGAATAGTGTCAAATATCAAGTACAGACAATCAATTAATACGCCCCAACAAAATTGAAGGATTGGCAAGGAATAGAGATATTGCTCACCCAGTTGATGGTAGTTAGAAAGACCAAAACCATAAACATGCCCATCGCTTGATACTGCAAAGGTGAAATATGCACCACAGAAGACATCCTGGAAATGCACACGGCCAGTCCCTTTAACTTTCAAGTGAATGCACTGAGGTATCAAAAGTCGCTCTGTGGGGTGGGGGAATTAAATTAAAAAAAAATAATAAATAAATATACACACATCCCGTTTCTTTAAAAAACACAATCTCATGGCTTTAACTAAAACATACAGAATGTCTGTAAAAAGAGTACAAAAAACGGCTTATTCTGCAAAATGAGAGGTGCGAAAAATTTACAGTGAATTTCAATGTCAAAACGAAAACAGGAGTGAATTCAAGAAGGTTTCTAATTTGGATATTTTAGTATACATTTTGAATTTTCATTTAGGGAATACACCTGTAACTATTTAAAGCACACAATAGTTTTCATTTTTTTTTTTTTTTTTAGTGTAATACATTTTATTTATACACACACATTGTGGTACTGAATAAGAATTCTGAAACATGATGCCAGTTTGCTCATTTGCATGTGAAGCCACAAACTCTGGGACAGTTGTGGAAACATGACCAATATAGTTTCTAAGCTCAAGAAGGAGTCCAACACTATTACACTGACATTGCTGCCATGTTGCCTCCTTGGACACACAGACATACACACACGAAAAGACACAGGCAACTGACAAACGCAAATCAGTGTGTAACTAGGAGCATAGGCTAGTACCAGTTTGTGGCTGTGGCTGTGTCTGTGTAAGTGCCTGAGATGGTGTGTCTTGCAATAAGTATCCTTGTGCATCTGTGAGTGTGTATATTTGTGTCTGAAATGCAGGGATAAGACACTGATTAGTTAGCTATAAATAAGCTGTAATACATTTATACTAGGAAACTTACTACAGATATTAAAAGGAGCACTATATTGCTAGGAAAACAAACCAGGCACTATAGGGCTAATAGATCCCCTCCCACTGGGCTGAAGGGTTTAAAACCCCTTCAACTACTTGCCTTAATCCAGCGCCGGGCTCCCTTGGCGCTGGTGTCCTCTTCTCCCCCTGTCATCAGCTCCGAATGCACGGCCAGAGCTGTGCGCGCATTCAAACCGCCCACAGGAAAGAATTACTCAATGCTTTCCTATGGACGTCCAGCGTGAGTTCAATGTGATTTTCGCATTGAGGAACGCGGAAACTGCCTCTAGTGGCTGTCAGGGAGACAGCCACTAGTGGCTGGATTAACCCTGCAATGTAAACACCGCAGTTTCTCTGAAACTGCTATGTTTTCAGCTGCAGGGTTACAACTAGGGGGACCTGGCACCCAGACAACTTAATTGAGCTGGTCCATTAATGGTGTTTCAATATTCTGTTTAAAAATAAATTTTGAAAAACACACCATTTCCTCCAACACAAATGAAATCTTTCTTCAAATCTTGAGGGACCTGTGGGGCTTTATACAGTTTGTTTTTTTGTAAGAAACCCTGTATATGTGCTAGAAAGGTTTGTTTTTTTAAATAAAAATAAATAAAAAAAACACACCACACCAAAAATTAGGAATATCACAGATTTTAGCACTTATCCCAGTCTGCTGCAAATATCTTCCATCTGTAATATTTATTAAACTACTAACTCAGAACAGCAGAAGGCAGTGGGTGATCACTTGCATGAATATCTACTTGTAAATCTCAGACAAGCAAGTGGAAATGCTGAGCCCTGTCTTATTGGCCCTCACAAATGAAGCAGGAAATTGCATGCTGTTGGGTAGTCTATTTTCTATTAATCAATGAATGATAGAATCCCCAATGATAGGAAAATAACAAAACAAACATGAAGCAATAGGTCCTTTACAAATTTGAATTTTCAAAACGTGATCATGACCATGTCCTGGATGGAATACACTGTATGAAGATGAATCTTCTCCTTGGATTATTATTTAAAGCCCTGCCTGTTCCAACTAGTGTGGATAGACTAACTATTTACAGTTTGTTTTATAGGAGTGAACTACAGGATAGCCAGGGAATTGTTATCAGATTGGCTCAAATTGCTCAGTGGACTAAACTTACGCTTATGATTGTAGTCAATTGACAAATACAAACTTGGCATTCCCTGGTAGGAGAAAAAAAAAAAAAAACTGGGTTGATGTGGAAAACTACCTTTTAGGCTCTGATTTACCACAATTCTACATGTGGCTCCTGAAATGTAACAGGTTTTTTTTCTTGTTTTAACATTTTGAATTTTTTTGCATCTAACTTAATGGCCAGAGAAGAGTACCTTAAGGGGACATGCCTAGAAAGGCTCTTCCAGCTGCTTCTGGGAGAGCAGCTAGTTTCTTTTAACTTTTTAGCAGATAATTCTTGGTTTACTTTGGATATTTACAAATATTCATACATACATATAAACATTATGCACATATGAAGGAAACAATAAAGGTGCTTATAACCCATACAATTCGAGGAACAACAGGTATAATCCCAAAATAATCCACTCCACCTTACACAAGCATTTTTCTCTAGGTGTTCGATGGCATGTTGTACTCTGGGAGTTGAAAGAGGAAGACAAACTAGAAACACACCTACAAACAAGTACCTCAGCAAACTAGGACTTGTATCATCACAGATGGAAACCTACCTGCTGATTACTACAGATCTATAGGTTATTGGGTCATTTGAATATATCATTAGTAATCATTGCTACTTACCAAGGCCCTTGCGCCCACCACGATTAGTAAACCTCTCAGGAACACGGCCTAGCTGACCCTGCTCGCCACAACCTGAGGTGTAAATGTCACCATCTGAGGTAAGCATTACAAGATGATCATTTCCTGGAGGGAAGAGAGAATGTCAGTGACACGTTGGACACCAATATTTCTTAACTAACCTGAGAACATATAGTCACCTGAGGCAATTTTGATGACTGGTACATTTATTTCCACATGTATAGGAACATTACTCTTCTTCATGGGCTCCAACAAACCGATAACACCATTATTATCCTAAGTATAAGAGAAGGGGAATAAATAATATATATAGGCTTATACAAACAAATAACCAATATAAAAAAGTAAAAATAAGTGAAAACACGTGTATATGACAAGAAGTGCTTCCCCAACATCTTAAAATAGGAATATTAAAACAAAAACAGATCACTGTGTACACAAATACTTATTGTAATAAGTTGGATCCAAATTGTTTAAGATCAAGATGAGAGTAAATAGGTTGGAAACACACTCACAGTAAGTAGAGCTTTATCAGGCTCTATAGCACATTGCTTGGAGTAATGGAGGAGAACACGAGGCCTGAATTGGCCCAAAGGCCTATTTTATTTAACAATGCAAAGAACATAAAATAAATAAAATATCATAAAAATGGCTGAGAAAAATAAAAAAAAACAATGCAATGCAAGGGGTGTCATATTGTGGAGTTCTGCTGTGAAGTTTGTATATGCTTTATTGTCCTCTACTGATAAGCTTGTAGATAAAGAGAGATCTAATGTTGACTCTTAGGCTTGTCAAGTAAATTACTTGACTTGTTGATTTGAACGCTTATATAATATAGCAAATTGATTATAATTGTATTGTTTTGTTGCTTTGCATTTTATAGTGTGTATTATTAAAACATATTTGAACCCCTTAAGGACTGAGCCAAATGTACAAGTTGTGAGCACTTATTATATATCATTTTGTTCAGGGGAAACAGCATTCATTTCATACATTCATATATGTAACTCCATTTTATATAAATATAAAAAAATTAAAACTTTCAAAAATTTAAAAAAAAAGTGTTATTTTTTAATTTCTGCATGGCAATTTAACGGTTAGTGTCAGAATACTGTTCAGTTTCACTGCACTAAAACATACATATTTGTATTCAGAAATGTCTCACGAGTAAAACAGTAGACCCCATGTATAGTTTTTATGGAGTTTTGGAAAGTTACAGGATCACATATACGGCTTATGCTTTTTTACATTGAAAGTTGTCAGATTAGTTTGCTGTGTCTAGGCTGCCTTTGAGATCGTATGGCAGCCAAGAAATGAAAGTTACCCCCATCATGGCATGTCTTTTTTAGTCGCCACTTGGGCACAAAGCCTAGCCAAAGTTAGTGTTCTTGTTTATTGTTTTTTCCCCCCCATTTTTCTCTCACACACACACACACACACACACACACAAAAAGGGACTTCCTGATATTGTCAGTATATAGTTTACGGTCCTGAAACACTGCTAGCTTTGTTCAGTGATGTCTCACGAGCGCCACAGTATCCCCCCCATGTATAGGTTTTGGAAAGGTATAGTGTCGTATATAATGCTTATCAATTTATGCTTTTTTACATTGAAATTTGACAAAGTGATTTTCTGGGCCTATTTCGCCTTTGAGAGAGCATGGCAGCCTGAGTAATAACATTTCCACTATAAATCGGCTGACACCCATGGCCGGCGCCATTCCCCTGCTGCAGATAGGCAGCTGTGATCAGTACTGCAAGTATATATATATATATATATATATATATATATATATATATATATATATATATATATATATATATATATATATATATATATATATATATATATATAACCACCCCATCCCCCAAAAAGTCTGTCTGATCAGAGAGCACTCTGATCACAGATACAGTACAGCAGATATACTGTACAGTACAGTGATCAGGCAGCGGGAAAAGGGTTAAGGGAGATTTGGATTGCTGCGACTGACACAAAGGGTGTTAAAAAAAAAAAATTAAAAAAAAGTTTTCACAGGAGCTGCAAAACCAACGATGGCTGACACAGTAACAGTGATCACATGCTGCAGATTGCGGTAGTTGGCCACAGGCATGCCCCCCCACTGCGATCTGCAGTGGAATCATGGCTGCAGTTACATGTGTCAGCCAATAGACTGTGCAGATCAGACTGCAATCAGACTGTGCAGATCGGGGTCACCTACGATCTGCAGCAGGGGAATGGCGCCGACCATGGGTGTCAGCCGATTTAAAAATCGTCTGACACATAGTAAAAATACTGATTGCTGTGACAGCCTGTCACTGCGATCAGAGGCTGCAGACCACAGTCACTGGGCACAGTGGGGCTGTCTGACCGCGATGTGCAGCGGGCTAATGGTGCCGGCCACATGGGCGGAAAAAACGGCTATGCTGCCCGTTGGCATTTAGAGCCAGCCCCTTAAGGATGGCATAGAATGCCCGCTGTCCTTAAGGGGTTAAGCAAAGTCTGTTGTCATTTGCCATTCGTAAGTGTTTATATCACCGCTTAAAACAAAGAACTACAGGGTCCCTGAAGGCTCTATGTGTGTGAATATCAGATAATATTCAATCTTTATTCCATACATATAAAACCTTAGATTACCCAACAATACCCTCCATTTATATAGTATAGCAATAATGACTCTAACCTTAATTTACAAAAAAAAAACAAAAACAAAAAAAACAGAAGAATGTGTTGATGTTTCTCTGTCATTTCCCCACTGCTTTCATTTTTCTGGAGTAAAAATAAAATTATATATATTTTGTATCTTGCGTTCTTTATACAAGTAATTATTTTGTAACTCTCCCCCTTCTACACGGTTTGCTCGGTTTTATTTTCCACTCTTTCCACACAAGATATTTACAACCCTCAGAAAATGGGGTCTAATCAAATCTGTCTTATCTGCACTCATGTCACTTTAACCCCTTTATCACAACTTTGAATTCTATGTTTCCTCTTTGCTCAGAAATGCTTTAGACTTGAGAAAGGGAGGTTCTCCCAAAAGCGTGTCATTACAAAATTATGATAGTCAAAAAATTTTATGAAATAAAAAGTGTATTACAAGATACAAATTTTATCTGTTTTGTAAATCTGCATCACTGGAATACGGCTACAATCTCTACTTGAATACATACAAAACGTCAGTATTTTCACAGTGCTATAAGAACTGAAAAGCTGTGCTTAAAAGGGCATTTCTGATTCTTCCAGACAGCACATACCCTGAAGGATCCAAAGATGAACACTCTACCATCTTCTGTCAAAGCAGCTGTATGACTGTCTCCTGCAGACACCTGTACAACCTTTTCAGACAGCTCAACCTTTCCAGGTGTCGTTTCTGATCCTTCTTCAGCAGTGTCTCTGCCCAGTGCCCCTTCGTCATTACAGCCAAAAGTATAAATCTAATAGAAAAGATGAATAAGTCTGTTAGTTGCCACAACTCAGGCATTACCCATTACATAAATTTGATGGATGGCAAACTTACAGTTCCGGATGCTCCCAAACAAACTGTGTGCATTCCTCCTGCCTCTGCCTGTACAATCTCCTCTGGGAGAGGCACCAAAGCTGGTCTTTTTCTCTCCATCACATCCTCTCCCAGACCCAGCTGACCAACATCACCTTGCCCTAAGGCCAAAACCTGTCCTCCAACTGTGCCATGTGAGGGATGAGTCACTACTAAGAAGAGATACAGGAAAAACCATTTGAATTACTACGGTTGACAAAAGCATAGGGTTCTCAGCTCAGTACAACATTATTCTGTATTTTTTTAAAATTAATATTTGCAAACATACACAACTGAATGTCAATTACACCCTAACTTGTATTTTTATAGTGCATGCACACAACATAGTATGCAACAGAAATTCTTATGACTGGACAAGCCAGACTGCTTCCTTTTGCTCCATGCAATGAAATTAATCAGATCATGTTAGAAACATCTACACTGATCTGAAGCACATAAAGTAATGGAGAACTTCCCAAAACCAGTTTTAATTTCTGGGTCACCACAACAACATGGTGCCTTTAATTTTTATAGCCCTTGTCTTAGAGTAAAAACTTACCCTTTGGACGCTTTGTCTCAGTGGTTCCATTGCTCTCCTCTGGTGAAGCATTCCTTTTCAGTGTTTTCTTTCCTTTCATGGTCGTCTACAACACAAAATGTAAATAAAAGAAATGTGAACATACTGACATTACCAGATATAGAAATGATGGGGAGAATCCTTGCCCACATGTTTATAATTGCAAAAGAAAATGGTAGTTAAGAAACAAAGTGCATAAAAGGCTCAAATCAAGGAAAATGTGATGGCTACATTGCTAATATTGCGAGAACAGTGAGAGTTGGTGTCAGAGGCAAAATCTGTAATACTCTTAAATGTAGATGAACTTTGAGAGATCGTCATGGGAACTATTTGAGAAGGGGAGAATAATATAAAGAGGAGGACAGCTATTGAGAAATGCTTTCCTATGGACTGACTGAATACGCGCGTGGCTCTTGCGCATTCAGCTGATGACGTCGATAGGAGGAGGAGATTGCCCAGTGCTGGAGAAAGGTAAGATTTTAATCCTTTCCTCCCCCTAGAGCCCAGCAGGAGGAGGGTGATCTATTAACACTATAGTGCAAGGAAAACGAGTTTGTTTTCATGGCACTATAGTGGTCCTTTAAGTTATCCATTCCTTTTTGACTCGGTTAACTGCTAAAATATACACATTATATGACTTGATAAAGAATCAGAGAGGAGACGAAACTTTGAGACTGCCTTTCAGAAGCAACCTCAGGTATGCCTGGACATTTATCTTTTCATTTGATGTTCTCCGGGGTGGTGGTGTGTCTTGTTTTCTTGCAAACAAAATTCACATTATAGACTGTTTTACAGTTATATCTTTATAATCCTACATATCCAACCCATGATTATAGCTATGAGTTTGAATGTTTTTCCAGCTTAGTTATTTTTGCTATTCTGATTTCATTTGATACAACAAAAACTCTTCCTAAACACTGACAAAATCGTTACAATGATCTTTGGAACTGTACCCAAGTTACGTAAACTACAAAATCAATAATTGTGTATCGGAACAAATTCAAATAGCACACTGACAGCAGTCTGTTCTTTTAAATATCTAGACATGTTGCTAGGCCCCAATCTATCTTTTGGCCTTCACATTGAAAAAAAAAGCTCTTCAAAAATTTACCCAAAACTAGGTCCCCTGGACAGAAACAAATCCTGTCTAAGCCCTACAATAATGAAACAGATCGTGCAACAAATGCTAATGCCGGTCATTGATTATGGGGACGTAGTATATGCACCCGCACTGCAAACCCACCTTAATAAGTTATAGAATTCGTTCTACCACTTTGTAGAATGCAATTACTTTATTCACCACTGTGACATGTTAAAAGAGCTAAACTGGCTGTCGCTGGAATCCCTACGCACTCTTCATCTTTCTAGCCTTGTGCATTAGAACATGTCTGGGAAGCTCCCATTGAGTAGAATGCTCTCCCCGGCTGCCCCCACCTCCTATAACCTCCGAACCAGTACTAGCACGATATTTAGCATACCACAATACAAATATAAAAGTGGCTCAATCATAATTTTCCTACAGAGCACCACAATTATGTAATATCCTCAGGGACAGTCAAATGTTCATTCAATCTAAAATCTCTTAACAGAATGCACCTGTCATGGTTGAATATATATATATATATATATATATATATATACACACATACATACATAAACACACACACATATATATATATATATATATATATATATATATATATATATATATATATATATATATATATATATATATATATATATATATATACACACATACACATACACATACATACATACACACACACAAATACAATATAGAGTGTGTGTGTGTATTGTAACAATGCAATGTTTTGTGGACAAAGACCCAGGACATACTTGAAAACTAGAGAAAGCTCAATGTATCCATCCTTGTAAAATATTTTATAAATAAAAGTTCAGTGAATAAACCTACAAGTCTTCAAAAAAAAAAAAAAAATGTATCACATCTTTCTCTCTGGTCTTGCATAATGGTATTTGTTGATCAAGTTATCCAGTGCTGACAGGTACAACCTTTGCTGTTCAAAAGGGAATAACTGCATTATTTTACACTACAAGTCCCGTATAGGACAAACAGGTTTCTTCTTTAGTCACTGGCATAAACATTTACAAGGTCATTGAATGGCTTATATAGCTGATGGTTGTGATATTTTTTAACAGATCGCAAAGAAAAGTAGCAAAAAGATTCGTCCGTCCTGATGATAAACAAGGTGAGAGGAAAACCCATCTGTTAGTATTGTTGTAGTATGTAGATAGAACAAATTAAAATACCAGTCATGTCATGTGATGCAGCCCAAGGTGGGTGGGCTGCAGGCATGGTACTGCTCTGTGTAGCTAACGGAAGCAAAAAAAAAAAAAATTCCTCCTGGCTGTCTCAATGACAACAAGGGAGAGGTGCTTGCCCCCAGTTATAGAAAACTGTCAAAAAACAAAACATAATCCACAAGTGAATCCAGACACACAGCATACACCAGGCTTAAGTGGTTTTTGTGTATTGCTTTAAGGAATAATCTATAAAGGGAAAGAAAAAAAAAAAAATTCCAGTAAAGGCCAGTTTAAGAAGGTACAAATACCCCTATTAAGATTACAACTGGGCCAAGACATTTCGTTTTAGTAGTTAAAATTATTGCTGAGCAGCAATGTAAATTGCAGCACAAAATCTCATATCTGGAAAAGAGGGGTGGGAATATTTCAGAAAACATTCAATATATAAAATAGCTCACATACCCCACACCTTGCTAAAAAAAAACCGCCTTATTATTATAATAGTGTCAGTGTACGGCCCTGTAACAGGGTATGGGAGTACTCCATTAGGTTTCACCCTTCCTCACGCGCTGCACTCGGTGTAGGGCAGGGCGAGCACCCAGTATGACTGCTGGCAGCGCTGCAATGGCTCTCACAGAGCCCGCTAATGCTATGCTCACACCCAGGAAGTGAAAGCATGCATGCCGCACGCTGTGTCCCGGTCACCCTTAGCCCTGGGTGTAACAGATGGGGTTGATAAAGCGGCCCGGTATTAACTCACCCTATGTGAGCGCTGTACTCACTCGCTGTGTACGTACAATGCCGCGATCTCGGTCTCAGCTCTCTCTCTTGTTACGTTGATCATCAATTCACGGTTGCCCGCGCGCGGCCCCTTTAAGCAGCTGTTCGACACGTGCGGCGCTTGCGTGACGTCCAACCTGTGCGACGGAATGACCAGGAAGTCAGCTGGTCTGCAAGCCACGCTCCGCCCCGCCCCGCCGCATTCTCCTGGTTTGAACTCACTGCGAGCGAACCTGCGCAGGGCGGGAGAGAACCAGGAGAAAGGGGAGTGGGGGGGGGGCACGGAGCTCAGAATAAATCCTGCTTTGTTGTGTGTGCTTTCCTGCTAAAACTATTCACCTACATGTTTATCCACTAAACTCATATCTTCTGTGATTTGAATGTCAGGAACATAACCAGGAACCACAGGACAATAATAATAATAGAAGGGCCCCTCGTCTTTACCCCCAACTAATACACCGAGTGGTGGCTGAGTGTGATTGTGTGGGAGTTGTGTGCGATGCTAAAAAAGCATGTTTGGGTTTCAGCCCCCTCCTGCTTCCCTTACTGCAGACACCAATCCCCAGTAGTCACCTGTTGCTGCTGACCAGATCCCTGGTTGGCCAGTTGGGACCACATTAATGGGACACCAAGGGAACTCTGACCACTACAGCTCATTGAAGTGGTCTGGGTGCAGTGTCCCTGTCAGTTTAACCCTGCAAAGGTAATTATTGCAGTTATTGATAAATTGCAATAATTACATTGCAGGGTTAACTCCATCGTTAGGCAACTTTTGGTCACCTACCTGACAGTGGATGGCATGAGGACATCCGGCGTCAGCCAAATCCCCATAGGAATGCATTGATTCAATGCTTTCCTATGGGGTTGTCTTAATGCAATTGCCACGCATGCTCATTAGTTTCCACAACACTGGGGGAGAAAGAGCCGGACCCAGCACCGAGGGACATTGGTGCTGGATTCATGTAAGTGACAAAAAGGTTTGCAACCATATACTACTGTTGGGGGGCACAACAGGCTAGGAATATAATTTTGTATTCCTGGCCTATAGTTTCCCTTCAAAGACTCTTCTGTTCTGGCATCCTGTGCTCACTGAATGAGTCAGAGCACTGCAACAGTAACCCACCGTGCTGAGAGTAACTTAAGGGGACACTATAGTCACCAGAACCACTGAAGCTTAATGTAGTGGTGCTGGTGTCTATAATCTGACCCTGTAGGCTCTTCAATGTAAACACTGCCACTAAAAATTGCTTCCTAGTCACTGTGCAGCACTGGCGTTCAGTGTCTACACGCTCTGCATGGAGGCGCTGAACGATCCCCATAGAGATGCATTGATTCAATGCATCTCTATGAAGAGATGCTGATTTGCAAAGTGCTGATTTTTGCTGCGCATGCTCAATAGTCTCCCAATGCTTTCCTATGGGAAAGTATTAGATTGGCTGACCATTGGACTCTGTTAGTTCTGCTACTGCTGAAAACCTTTTGCAGAATTAAGGCTAAAATAACACATTTCTGATTAGATGGGCTCAAGGTGCATCTGCTGCAGGCAGGTCTCTGGTGTCCGCAAACGTGGAACTTGGGGAGAAGAAATCCAAGATGGTCAGACAGAACCCTGATATTGGGACTGTCCAACTGGATTAGGGAGACTTGTGTGTTCTGATAACTAAGGGCACGTACCCAGAGCATCATATGACATTGATGTCTCACTAGACATAAAAGTGAAGTGGTGTTTTCTTTGAACTTACATGTGATCTAAAATTCACCCCACTAAATGGAGGAGCTGCTGTCAGTTCCATTTCTTGTATGTCACATAATAAATGCACACATTAATCAAAATTTACATCCAAAGCAATTCATTATATAGTGCTGGTAGTAATGCACATCATTAAATTGGATTGTGCAGACACAATACCTTTATATTGTGTATTTATCATTATGTAAAATGCAATGCACACTAGATTTCCCTGGTGCTCTTGGCGCCCTCTACTGCTAACCGGAAGTCTGTCTGCCGCTCTATGCTGTCTGATCCATTATTGTTGGTTTCAGTCCTTCCCAACACGTGGGACCGCTAAGTATCCATCTACCGCTAGCCAGCTAGACGCGTGGCTCCAGCCGAGCAGGTAAGACCCGAGCCGCACACTTTATGGGTGAGTTCAGTTAGAAATCGTTATTAGTGTGAAGGGATAAACATAAGCCGGTGCTGTGCGGGAGCATGACATGCAAGGAATGAGATTGTATTGGTGGTTAGAAAACTCACTTAGGATGAACATACCGGCACAGTGATGAACCACGTGAGAGCCACAGGACAGCAAGATTGTTTATAGTCCTGTACTGAAGTTATCATACTGCATTCAAGTGTGTGTGTGTGTGTGTGTGTGTGTGTGTGTGTGTGTGTGTGTGTGTGTGTGTGTGTGTGTGTCTATATATATATATATATATATATAGACACACACACTCACTCACTCTTAAGGCAGTTTATGGGTTAAACTGTTCAAGAACGGTTTAACCTATTGAGGTAAGAGTGCCTCCAGGGGCCTCTTGGCACCATAGCCACTTAATTTAAAGGAAGTTGTTTTGGTGCTTGGAGTGTTCATTTAAGTGAATAACCTAACCCAGAATAAAATGTTAGACTCAAACTGCCATATACAGGCAAACAGAACTGTTTGTCACTGACAGTGTGACTTTTTTTCCCCAGTGATGCCAAACCCATGCATGCATGTACGTACCTGACATCATTCACCATTGATTTGTGAAAGTGATATATTGAATGCCTCTGAGGATTTAGGTGACCGTGTTGGCACTTGGAAAGGTGTTTGTGTGTGTGTGTGTGTGTCTTTCTATTTATGCAATCTGATGCAGAGATGAGTGTCGTGTCATGGACTTCATAACAGGAAACCAATGGAATTGCTGCTAGAGCAGTATTGAAGGTCATTCTTTAGTATTGATTTTGTTTCATTGTGAAATCTTACGCTATTATGTGTTAACGGAACACTACAGTGTCAGGAATATAAACATGTATTACTGATACTCCAGCATTTAACTATTTAGGTCCTCGGCCCCCCTTAGAATGCATGCCTCTATGGCTGAGATTGTCAGTCTTGATCTCAGCCAGTCTAATGCTCTCCCATATGAAAGCACTGGGAGGCTATTGCGCAGGCACAGTAAAACACTGCGCTGTGCCTGTAGTAGTCTCATATTTGTTGTAAACTAATCACCTATCAGAAATGCATGCTTCATTTTCATTGGTCACTAACAACTGTCAATCAAAATAACTGTCAAATGCAAATATTATTGCCAATTCCTGTCTACTGTTGAGACAGAATTCTTGATTGCACAAGATTAATAAACGTCTGCATGTTCAACTACAGAATAAATTAAAAAGATGTTCATCATTCCTTATTGTTACACGATGATGTACTTTTATTGGCAAAACAGCACAGCAATCTTTTTGATTTATTCTTTGTTACTTATACGGGAAGGCAGAGACTGAGTCATTACACCCTTAAAGGAACACTATAGGATTTCTAATACAAACATGTATTCCTGATCCTATAGTGAAAAAAAACACATGTAGGGTCCCTTGCCTATCCTAAATAAGTCTAAAACTTACCTTCTTTGCAGGTCTGCCAGCACTTGCTCTGGCCCATTTCCGCCTCCTTGGCTGACATCATCAGAACTGATAATCTTAGCCAATTACACTGCTTTCCTATAGGCAAAGCATTGGATTGGCTGAGATTGTAAATTCTGATGATCACACCAAGGAGGTGGGGGGGTTTCTCAAATGCAACCCTAGCCAATCAGCATCTCTTCATAGAGATACATTGATTCCTTTAACGCTCTGCATGGTGCTGCCCTCTGTGCAGCACTGCCCCAGGAAGCACCTCTAGTGGCTGTCAGAGGAGTGGACACTAGAGGTGTTCCTAGGCTATAATGTAAACACTACCTTTTCATTAAGCTGTAGTGGTTCTGGTTACTATATGGTCCCTTTAAGAGGCAGATCTATCAACCCTATCTGTGTCCTAGAAGGATATGTCAACCTTTCCACAAGTAGGCTAAATCACAAAATATGAATGTCACATTCATATAGGCTTAATTTTTTTCAAGACTAAACAAAACCCTTTGAACATTAAAAAATAATAGGGATTATTACATTTTGTCGTGTTTTTGTTGTTGTTTTTTTGTCAATCATATGAAAGATTTTCGTCAAAGAGATAATATGCAATCACCGGAAAGAAAACGTCCTAGATACAAAACCGTTTTGTAGCAAAGGCTGTGCTTTAACAGAACAGTAGGAAGAGTCCCTCTGCGAGAATGGTGTAGGATTATTCTTTGTCATTGGCCAAGAGGAGATAGTGAACACAGTGTGTTGAGGCCAAAAGGAGCTCACCAATAGTGTGGTTTGGTTTTGTGACATTTGTCATATTTTTCTCTTTATTCCATGTTAATGTGGGGTTTTTTTTGTGTGTGTTTGTATGTATGTATGTTAAACCTTATGAGGATGGCATAATAAACTTTCAGATAATGTTTTTTTTTTTTTTTTTTCCTCAGCATACAATATGAAGTATATACTTGTGACGGGTGGAGTGATTTCTGGCATTGGAAAGGGAATTATTGCCAGCAGCATTGGAACGATCTTGAAATCTAGCTCTCTGCATGTCACCTCCATCAAAATTGACCCCTACATCAATATTGATGCTGGAACCTTTTCTCCATATGAGCATGGTGGGTATAATAACAGCTATCTGTATTTTGTACTGTTGATATGTACAATGTGGGGTTGTGATACCCTGTATTTCCCACAGCACTATGAGTAATGGCAATGGTAGTAAGTCCCAATGTTAAAGGGACACTATAGTCACCCAGACCACTTCAGCTCAATGAAGTGGTCTGGGTGCCAGGTCCCTCTAGGGTTAACCCTGCCTGCTGTAAACATAGCAGTTTTAGAGAAACTGCTATGTTTAGATTTGGGGTTAAGCCAGCCTCTAGTGGCTGTCTTCCGGATAGCCACTAGAGGCGCATCTGAGATGCTGGAGGCATATTATGCTTCCATCACGCAGAGTGTCCATAGGAAAGCATTGAAAAATGCTTTCCTATGGACACTTTGAATGCTCACGCGGCACTGCCGCACATGCGCATTCCGCTCCTCTGACGTTGGCAGGAGAGGTAAGGGAGCCCTGTCGGTGGAAGAAGTTGAGTAACTGAGGGGGTTTTAACCCCTTCAGCACCACGGGAGGGGGCGCCCTCGGGGTAGTATAGTGTCAGGAAAACCGATTTTGTTTTCATGACACTATAGTGATCCTTTAAGCAATAACAGTATGGTATGTTTGAGATTGCTATTAGTTTACCGCCAGTAGTAAATATTTTGAAGGAAGTGCTACATGAGGCTTTTCCATCCCTGAACTGTACATGCATCATCAGTATGGTCCATTTTCTGAATCATAACTTTTGTCATGGAGATAATGTATTGAATGTGAATATTGAGCCGTAATTATCACAATGTGCTTGGTATCTGTCCAATGTTTACTATTTTTGTATTTGTTTGTAAATGCCAGGTGAAGTATTCGTGCTGGATGATGGAGGCGAAGTCGATCTGGACCTTGGGAATTATGAACGTTTCCTTGACATCAGACTAACCAAAGACAATAATTTAACCACTGGCAAAATCTATCAGTCAGTCATTAACAAGGAGAGGAAAGGGGATTATCTTGGAAAGACTGTGCAAGGTAAGTGAGAGACGATTGGGGATTAATAACATCTAACTCACCCCAACAAATCTAGCCAAATCGTACTCTCCAAATGTTAATTTTGTATTATCCGTGTGGCTTGAGAGGGGGTTAGTATCCAGGCATTAGAAAGAGCCTTGATTTATGCCCAACTCTTCCTCTTTGGCTTGATATTAAACTTGGGATCTTACCTAGACACTCTAAACCAGGGGTGCCCAAAAGGTAGATATCTTAAAACTACAGCTTCCATGGTGTTTTGTCATTCTAAAGGCATGAAAAGCATCATGGAAGTTATAGTTTTAAAATACCTGGGGATCTACATTTTGGGCATCCCTGCTCAAATAACGGTGTTTTGGGTGGAATATCCTCTGATGTTTTTGAGAAAAGTGAATCAACGCAGGCCCTTTCTTATAACAGAATGGTCATATAATTTTATATATTGGATACATAAATGATATGTGTTTTCCTGCTTTGTGCATTCCTGAGCTAAACTACATGCATTAGTAAAAGGTATAGAGGCAGGCTTTAAAGGGACACTCCAGGCACCCAGACCACTTCTGCCCATTGGAGTGGTCTGGGTGCCAACTCCCAATACCCTTAACCCTGCAACTGTAATTATTGCAGTTTTTATAAACTGCAATAATTACCTTGCAGGAATAACTCCTCCTCCAGTGGCTGTCTACTAGACAGCCACTAGAGGGCACTTCCTCATTCATAGCACAGAAAACCTGTGCTAGAGTGTCGTGTGTGAGGATCTCTATGGGGAGCGCTAATGCGCATTAGGTCTCACCGGCTGGTGGGCAGGATCAGTCCTATGTGAGGACCTCAGGATTTTCAATGCTTTCCTATGGAGAGGTCTAATGTGTGTGCGCCATTCCTTTGAAAATAGAAGTACACCTAGAACATGGGTACACATATGGTGAAGAGACAAATAGTGGGGTTTTTTTTTTGTTTTTTTTTACTTTATTCATGCTCTTTGGCATTTTCACATATCCCCTGAATTGTATACACGAACAGCTCCTATTAATTAAAGGAACACTATAGGCACCCAGACCACTTCAGCTCATTGAAGTGGTCTGGATGGAGTGTCCCATGTCCCTTAACCCTGCATAGGAAATCACTGTAGTTTTTAATAAACTGCAATAATTAACTTTGAGGGTTAACTTCACCTCTAGTGGCTGTCTACCAGACCAAATGCAACAGTTATCACTGGTGCTAGCTCCACCCCCTTGGTGACATCAGAATTACCGATTTTATTTTATTTTTATTTTTTTAAGCCAATCCAATGCTTTCCCATAGGGAAAGCATTGGATTGGCTAAAATCTGCAAGGGGCGGGGCCGTTTTGGCCAATTATCACCACCTCATAGAGATGCATTAAATCAGTGCATCTCTATGAGGAAAATTCAGCATCCCCATGCAGAGTGTGGAGACGCTGAACGGCACTGCTGCCTACTGTGCAGCACTGAACCAGGAAGCACCTCCAGTGGCCATCTGAGGAGTGGCAACTTGGAGGTGTCCTTAGGGGCAATGTAAACACTGCCTTTTCTCTGAGGCATTAAAATGCCTGAAGGCAATGGTTATACTCACCAGAACTACTACATTAAGCTATAGTTGTACTGGTCACTATAGTGTCCCTTTAATGATATTCATTACAAAGCAAATATATCTAAATTGTACTGTGGGGGAAAAAAACCATTTACTGTATTTTCTTAAAATGTCAACATTTTTCTTTTCAGTTGTCCCTCATATAACTGATGCAATCCAGGAATGGGTGATGAGACAAGCTCTAATTCCAGTGGATGAGGATGGCATTGAACCAGAAGTCTGTGTAATAGAGGTGGGTGTTAAACTTTGCTGTGGGCTTCCATTCATTTAAAATTGCTCCTGTTACTCAATCAGTATTGTTTCCTTCTAGCTGGGAGGTACGGTGGGTGATATTGAGAGCATGCCGTTCGTGGAGGCTTTCCGTCAGTTCCAATTCAAAGTTCGCAAAGAAAACTTCTGTAATATCCACGTCAGCCTTGTACCCCAGGTGAAAAGATTACTTTTATTTCCCACTACCTTTGGGCTTTATATGCATACTGACTCACTCTCAGAATGAAGATCTTGCTATACTGAGAATTATATTGTATATAACGTCTTTTGGTTTTCTGTGTCCTTTACATAGCCCAGTGCTACAGGAGAACAGAAGACTAAGCCAACACAAAACAGTGTTCGGGAGCTTCGAGGACTGGGCCTTTCACCAGACCTTGTGAGTAACTTATGTCATAACGAGTTCTTATGAAAGAGTTACAGCCTACCATAAATTGTCCCTTTCTGCGCTGGTTAGAGCAGTGGTAGTGTCACTGCCGTAGAACTGGGAAACCCTGGTTCGAAGTCTCACTCAGATCACTTTACCAGTAAGTGTCATTGGGTAAGACGCCTAACAATATATATCCGCCTACTGAATATCCCCTTTCTGTAATTGTAAAGCGCCGTGGAATATGTTGGCATTATATAAATGCTAATAATACTCAAAAAATAATTTTTTTTTATTTTTTTTTTATTTAATTTTTAGCTACAAAGCTTTAATTAGGCCTCCTTTTATCATGAATGTGCTGGGATATCCCATTTTACTTGCTTTTTTAGTTTTCATTAAGGTGAAGTACAAAGCATTTGGAATTACATCACAGGCACTCAGTGCTTCTTCAATAGAAGGCAGCTATAGTCACAGCTTGGCTCTTAGAGCCTGAATTTTGAAATTGAGTTTCATTTCACTGTTTTATAAATTAACCCTGCGGAGTTAACAATCAGCTCCCACTTGTTTCTATTGGGAAATTTCATGCATGAATCATTAATGTTTTGCAAAAAATACATCTCAATATTAATTGAAGCTACAGTAATCTTTGGTTGATGTCCCCAAAAGAAGCCCAGTATATACAATGTTATGTCGTGCATTCTTGGATTCACTTCCAGCCATGTGCAATAACTGCCTCCTGCTCTTGTAACATAAACGCATGGATCTTTATGCGAGCTTTATGCAGTCAAAAGAATATTTGCATAGATTTCATTGTTCTCAAAAATTCTTTGTTGGCTTCTTTGCATACAACTATGGTCTCGAAAAGCAAATCCCAGATGTGACGTTTTTCCTCACTGTACCTAGAGTGTCTAGCACTGTGTCTATGTTCATATCACTGCCAGGGTCCCAAAGAACACTAAAATAATCCAGTTGCTGGATCTCTAATACAAAGGAAAACTGCGTCGGTAAGTTCATGCAATAAAACATGCTTGAGACCTGAACGAAGTCTCCCCAAGGGCAAGATTAAGGAAAATGTATTCATACATACTGTAATTTTCTTTTCCTGGATAAATCCATAGCAGCATCACTAATTTGTAGCTCCTCCCCTCATTAGTGATGCTGCCATGGATTGTCCAGGAAACTGTTTTTGCCCATTTACAGTGTTACCATTTGATTATTTTTTTTTAAATTTTTTTTTTTCTCTTCTCTGCTCTCCTTATTGCAATGGTCACCCTACCTGAATCATCCAATAATATACTCACATGCTCAATGTTGAGGGTTCTTATGTATGTTCCTTTTCGCTATAGGTTGTATGTAGGTGTTCTACACCCTTGGATACATCCGTGAAAGAGAAGATATCCATGTTCTGTCATGTTGAGCCCCAGCAGGTACAGTCCACATTCGCAAAACCATAGACATTTGTTCGTGAGTTTTTTTCTTTTGTTTTTCTTTTTCAACCTTTGTGCACTGTGTTGGTTACCCACTTCAAGGCTGCCTAAGTCACGTGTGCTGAGTGTTCGCACAAATGCAAATTACTCTGGATGTGCATCGTTTCAAGCAGAAACACTGCACATCCAGACTCCTGCCACTATGACCAGTTCAAAAAGCAGAGGTGCTCATGGTGGTTAGAGTAACCCTTTCATTTTATTACATTGCATCTTCCCATTTTGGGAATATTTCTTTCACTAAAGTAATAAATGTCCTTTGATGCCACTACCAAATCTGTGTATTTTAGGTCATCTGTGTACATGACGTCTCCTCTATATACAGAGTCCCGCTTCTGTTGGAAGAGCAGGGGGTTGTTGAATATTTTCGCAATCGTTTAGATCTCCCTATTGGCCGTCAGCCACGCCGCCTGCTAATGAAATGGAAAGAAATGGCCGACCGGTGAGGCATTTTAGCTGCTTGTCTCTCATCAGAAATACTACTACATCTCTCTTATCCTTACAGAATGATGTATGTTGTATACAGTTTTTATGAGTTGGAGGAAAGGAAAATTCTTAAACTGATACTCCAGACCCCTAAAGCACTTTGGCTTGTTTAAAGTGCTTTGTGTAAAAAGTGTTTTAGTATATAAATTCATTATGGGTATAACTACAAAACAGTGATTATTTTATTATGTTTTGGGGGCAGTGTGTCATGAAGTGTTATGTATTCTGACGTTCTCCTTTTGAATAATGTGAACCCTGTCAGGAGTATTACTTACTTAACCTATAATTCCTCCTGTCCCAGTACTTCAATAAGTAGATTTTGAATAAAAGTAGTATTTTTGCAGATATGATCGCTTATTGGAGACGTGCAGTATCGCACTAGTTGGAAAGTACACAAAGTTCTCAGATTCATATGCCTCAGTCATTAAGGCCCTGGAGCATTCTGCACTGGCTATAAGCCACCGCCTGGAAATTAAGGTATGTGCACACTGATAAGAAACACATGTACCCTATATTGGTGAAACCTGTCGACATGCTGAAACATCACATTATCAAAACTGTATTCAGCTCAGTGCATTGATGTTCTAGGGTAGAACTGCTTGTACAACTCCCTTACATACACAACCATGCAAGTAAATAAGCCACTTACCCAATATAATTTTTTTTTTTTTTTTTTTTTTTAAACAATACATTGTGTAAATGCCCAAATGTGCATTAGAATGCATACTTGTGTAGTGTGGTTGTGGTTGCCATTTTATTTGTGTTTGTGTTAATGGATATGTGCACTGTGTGCATGCATAGTATAAATTCCTTCATAAAATGCTATTGGAAACTCCCCGTTCATTTGAGTTGCTGTCATGCCTGAAGTGAGGTGGTGCTCGGGTGAATTGTCTATAAATTGTGTGCCGGTTTGGGGGAGAGGGGTAAGAAAGAGTTACAGTAAACAGTTTAAAAAGGTACACTATAGTCACCCAGACCACTTCAGCTCAATGAAGTGGTATGGGTGCCAGGTCCCTCAGGTTTTAACCCTTCAGATTAAAACATAGCAGTTTTAGAGAATCTGCTTTGTTTACATTTGGGGTTAAGCCAGCCTCTAGTGGCTGTCTTCCGGACAGCCACTAGAGGCGCATCTGCGACGCTGGAGGCATATTGTGCCTCCATCGCGCAGAGCATCCATAGGAAAGCATTGAGAAATGTGTTCCTATGGATACTTTGTGTGCGCGGCACTATATATATATATATATATATATATATATGTGTATATATATATATGTATGTGTGTATATGTATGCTTGGCACTCACCCTTTAATGCAGGTATCCAAAGAAATTTTGCCTGGGTGCAAACCTCAGCGTAGTAAATATATAAATAAGGTGCACTCACAGGTCTTCAAAAGTGCTTCATTTATTTCATATGCAAATTACATGTGCACAAAAATCTTCCATTAATCGACGTTTCGACCCCTATAGGGTCTTGAAGACCCTATCTGGGTCGAAACGTCGATTTATTGGAAGATTCTTGAAGACCCTATCGGGGTCGAAACGTCGATTATTGGAAGATTTTTGTGCACATGTAATTTGTATATGAAATAAATGAAGCACTTTTGAAGACCTGTGAGTGCACCTTATTTATATATATATATATATATATATATATATATATATATATATATATATATATATATATATATATATATATATATATATATATATATATAATCAAATTACATGTAGACTGATACTGATTAAATATATATATAATTATTGTTATACATATATATTTATATATAATATTTAAAAAAAGTAAATACGTAAAAAAATAAAATAAAAAAATAAAAAATAAATAATTAAAAAATATATAGATGTGTTATTTCGTTCTAACTGTATTTTGATATTAATATATTTATATCAAAATACATGTAGAACGAAATAATATATCTATATACATAAATATATACGTATCTATCAATATATATATATATATATATATATATATATATATATATATATATATATATATATATATATATATATATATATATATATATATATATATTAAAATATTTAAAAATAATTTTATATATATATATTACATATATTCTACATATATATCTAATATTTTTACATAATTAGGTATCTTAATTAATTACAATTAGCGGGACCTGCCTGACAACCTATGCCGAAAGTAAAGGGAATTTAATTTGCTAGCACTATAATTAACCCTATAACTTTCCAACACACCATAAAACCTGTACATGGGGGTTACTGTTCTACTCGGGAGACTTCGCTGAACACAAATATTAGTGTTTCAAAACAGTAAAATGTATTACAACGATGATATCGCCAGTAAAAGTGACGGTTTTTGCATTTTTCACGCACAAACAGCACTTACACGGACGATATTATTGCTGCGATACTATTTACTGTTTTGAAACACAAATATTTGTGTTCAGCGAAGTCTCCCGAGTAAAACAGTACCCCTCATGTACAGGTTTTATGGTGTGTTCAAAAGTTACAGCATCAAATATAAGGCTTGTGCTTCATGGTTTTTCACATTAAAATTCGCCAGATTGGTTAGGTTGCCTTTGAGACCCTATGGTAGCCCAAGAATGAAAATTACCCCTATGATGGCATACCATTTGCAAAAGAAGACAACTCAAGGTATTGCAAACGGGGTATGTCCAGTCTTTTTTAGTAGCCACTTAGTCACAAACACTGGCCAAAATTGGTGTTTTTTGCATTTTTCACACACTAACAAATACTAGCGCTAACTTTGGCCAGTGATTGTGACCAAATGGCTACTAAAAAAGACTGGACATACCCCATTTGCAATACCTTGGGTTGTCTACTATTGCAAATGGTATGCCATTATGGGTGTAAATTTCATTCCTGGGCTACTATACAGTCTCAAAGGCAACATAACCTATCTGGTGAATTTCAATTTCAAATGCAACGTGACCCTGTAACTTCCCAAAACATCATAAAACCTGTACATAGGGGGTACTGTTTTACACGTGAGACTTTGCTGTATACAAATATGTGTGTTTTATTGCAGTAAAAGCAAACAGTATAATGACATTGACAGTTAAAATGTCATGTAGAACTAAAAAAATAAAATTCTCCCATTTTTTTTCACATTAAATTATGTTTCACAGCTAAATATTTGATATTAAATGAAAACCCTGTTTCCCCTGAATAAAATTTATATATAATAAGGGTGGGTGCATTTACTATGAAAGAGGTGAAATTACGGTTGGACAGACATGTAGCGCAAATGTCAGGTTTTGTTTTGTTCACAACGTGTACATTTGGCTCCGTCCTTAAGGGGTTAATATCTGTGTAATGTTGTGAATCCTTTTTTTTTTCTATCTTTGTAGTATATAGACTCTGCCGACTTAGAGCCAGCCACTTTGCAGGATGAGCCAGTGCGGTACCATGAAGCATGGCAGAAACTCTGCAGCTCAGAGTAAGAAAACAGACATTTTATATTCATTAACCATGCCAGCAGCAACCACTCAATAGGGTTGTAAGAAAATACACTTTTAAACTATGCATATATTCTCCATTTTAATGATATGTCACTTTTTGGGCACTTTTTGATACATCTCCTTAAATGTGAAAATAAACGTGATGAATAATTTAAAATTAGGCATTTCAAATGTAGAAATATGTTTCTCAGTGAGTGTAAGAATATAGGATGTCCATTTAATTTTGGGGGGATTTTTGTTACAGTGGGGTGTTGGTACCTGGAGGATTTGGAGTGCGTGGGACAGAAGGGAAGATTCAGGCCATAGCCTGGGCACGCAAACAGAAGAAACCATTTTTGGGTGAGCGCTCGCCCCATCGTATTTTTTTTTTTAAATTAATTTATTTTTTTAATAATATGGTTATTCTTGAATACATCACATATAAATCCTGTTCTTACTTCTTTCAAATCATATAGGGTCTGCCGGCCTTTCAAGTGCACATTAATTTGTTTAAAATCATTTTACTTGCAGGAGTGTGTTTGGGGATGCAATTGGCTGTTGTTGAGTTTTCTCGAGAAATACTGGGCTGGAAAGGTGAGTTTTGTTATCTATGAAATGGAACTTAGGGTCTTGTTTATCAATATCGTGACAACATAATTTTGCTAGGATAGTAGACCTTTTATACCTTCATGAATTCCACTTGTTCAGTTTTTTTTCACAAAACAGATATTCACAAATCGGTCCAAGTCAAGATTGCAATACCATTTTAGGGGGCATGAGAATGCTGCCTTGTATATTGTTCTATGAATTTTTTATTAGAAGCGTCACAAATTCCTAAGGAGCATTTGGTTAATTAAATGAGAAGAAATGCAGGAAAGATAGGGACTCTAAACTTTTTGTTTTTTAAATTCCAGATGCCAATTCTACAGAATTTAACCCACAAACCAGTCATCCTGTGGTAAGTATGTTGTCTGTTCTATCTGTGGCTAGTAGGCTCTTTTCCATTTCAGTGGCATGTTCAAGATGCTTTACTTGAATGATTATTTTTGATTAGGGACACTATGAATACCATAAGCATGCTCTAGTGGTTGTCTAGAGTACCACTTAAAGAAGATTCTTTGTGTAAAAATATGCTTGCATTTTATCCATTAAAATGTTTAAATTATAGGAATATTTTTAAGATTAAAGTAAGCATCAGACTGTCTGTTCCAATCTGAGAAGTGGTCACAGCCTTTGTCAGCATTATGATGCATGTGATTTTACAAAGCGTGTCCTTAAATTATTTATAGTCTTCACTTCGTAGTGCCTCTAGTGGCTTTCTACCTTCAGGGGCAGGTGTGTGGCACTGTAAAAATAATCGTAAAAAAATACTTTATATTGCCATGCAAAAGGTAAAGTTGTGGTTTTGGTATTTAAAGTGTTAATTTTAATAACTATTTCAAAACTTGACAGAATTACTATATGTTCTCAATATACTATAGTCTGCAGTTTACATGCTTTCCTGTTGTATATTGATATGATGAAACCTCCTCGTTATTGCAGGTAATTGATATGCCAGAGCACAATCCAGGTCAGATGGGGGGGACAATGAGATTAGGAAAGAGAAGAACCATCTTCCACTCTCAGAATTCAGTTTTGCGTAAGTATGTGGACATGTGTGTGTATTGGTGGGGGAGATCTATAATCTCTACCATTGATACCCAAACCTATAATTATGTCCCCCAATTCTCTCTAGGTTTGTGTTTAGAATTTATGATGGGGCGTGGTGTGTTCTCAGCTTGTCTTTTATTTGTTGCATTAAATGAGTGTTCAAAACAAGGCAACAACACAGTTACATTTTTAAATTACAGTTGCCTGCTACTTCTTGTTTTGATAACTGTGGTTTGGGCACAAACCATTATTTTATGCCAGTCATGAAAACGTTCTTGTTTCAGGGGAAAGTGTCTCTAAACCAGTGGCCTTATTTGCCACACATGGAAAAACTACATTGGCAAAAAGCAACAGTGTCTAAAATGCAGTGCTCACAGACAAGAACAGATAGGATAGTTGCAGAACAGTGCAAAAATACAGCTCTAGAAACACACTCTCCAGTTTATGCTCAACAATTTCTGTAAGAAGGTGTGTGGTTTTAGAGTGTAGAGTAGCCATTTAACAGAAAATGTAATTGGTATATCCGTGGCCAAGTCTCAAGAGAAACATTATGTTGTGTATATTCCAAACCTACCCAAGGATAGATTGCTGAATATTTAGCCATTTTAAGAAAATTGTGACAAAATTGTTTTTTTTTTTTGAAATTATTTGTTTAAACAGAGAAACTGTATGGGGGCCATGAACATGTGGAAGAGCGGCATCGCCATAGATATGAGGTAAGGTCTCAGCTGCATTTTACCCTCCTCTTTGTTTTAGGTATTCACTTAAGGCAGGCTTTCTCAAAAGGTAGATGCCTTGCCTCCGTTGCTGTTGAGCTATAACTCAGATTATACTTTGTTTGCCTCAATGCTAGAGATGTTAGATTGAAGTTGTAGTTCTACAGCTGCTGAGAGTCTACCATTTGGACACCCTTTGACTTAAAGGCATATGATTTCAACTCCTCCCTTCCATTGTTCGCACTGTTTTTGCACCCTTTGTTTATTCTTGAATTGTCGTTAATATTCCCTTCTGTCACTTACCTGGGTCCAGCGGCGATGTCTCTCGACGCTGGCTCAGATCCGCCCATGCTCCTCCCCCACCTTTAGGCGGCAGGGGAGACCTAATGCGCATGCGCGGCAATGGCTGTGCTCGCATTAGGATTTCTCAATAGGAAACTAATGCTTTCCTATAGGGATTCCAATGATCCTGGAAGTGGTCCTGCATAACGTGAGGACATCCAGCATCTTTTAGGCAACCAAAAGTCACCTATCCATCCGGAAGTCCCTTTTTAATGGTTGTCTGGTAGAGTTAACCCTAGCAGGTAATTATTGCAGTTTATATATTTATTTAAAAAAAAAAAAAGACAGTTGGAAGAATGGGGGAAAATCGAGATTTTGTGGTGGGGGAGAACTAACACGGTCAGAGCTTGTACCCTTCCAAAGTGGGTATACTTGTTTCGTATGGTACCCTTGGCTTGTTCAGATAACTGGATGACTCTTGCACAATCTTTAATTAATAGGTTTATTTGCTTGGGAAAGCACCCAGGATTTAACTCAAATCTTTAAGTGGTAAAATGGGAGGTTTAGGGGTACCCCTTTTTAAAAGACTATCAAAAAGCCTGTAACTTATCACATGCCATTATTATTATTGCCATTTATAAAGCGCCAACAGATTCCGTAGCGCTTTACAATATTATATGGGGGGGGGGGAATTTAACTATAAATAGGACAATTACAAAAACTTCCAGGAACGATAAGTTGAAGAGGACTCTGCTCAAACGAGAAGTCTACAGGAGTTTGGGTATAAAACACAATAGGACAGGAGATGGAAATCAAATAAGGTGGTAGTAAAGCAGAGCTGGAGGAGAGAGTAGGAGAGAGCAAGAGAGCCCTTTAGGAGAGAGCAAGAGACAGGTATGTGAGGTAGAGTTTAGTCTTGGAGGCCATAAGCTTTCATAATGATTGAAGCCTAGGGGAGAAGCTGATGGAGGTAGTCAGGCTATTCCATAGGAAGTGTGCCGCCCTCAAAGTCCTGCAAGTGTGAGTTAACCATACGGATGTGAGCAGCGGACAGGAGAAGGTCATGGGCGGAGCGGAGAGACCAAGAAGGGGCATATCTATGGATCTGTGAGGAGATTTAAGAGGGGCTAGATTTGTTCAATACTTTATAGGTATGGATTACTACTTTGAATTGACTCCTATAGAATACAGGAAGCTAATGTAAGGATTGACAGAGGGGTTAGGTGTGAGAGGACTGACTGAAGAGGAAAATCAGTCTGGCAGCAGCATTAATTACAGATTGTAGCATGGGTGATACGGCTTTTGGGAAGACCAATTAGGAGGGGGTTACAATAAATTACTAGAGCGTGGACAAGCTCCTTAGTAGCATCTTGCATCAGAAAGGGGCGGATGAGGGCTCTGTTTTGTTTATTTTTTGTTTTTGTTTTTTTACATTCAATTATTTTTATTTGTTTTTGAAACAAGTTGCGGGATACAGAAAAGAAAAGGGGAAGGGGGACATAAATGAGTAGTACAAAACAATAACCAATGCAGTCATGCCTGTATAGTTACAACTTTCATTGATTGGGTCAGCTTGCGTAGTCGTTGCTGTAACTATTGTGTGCGGAGCGCAGGCCCTAGTGGTCGTGTGTGCTCTGTGGCCCATTCTCAAAGAGTTTGGTGACTGTATGAGGTGCTTAAGTGGCACAACTATGTACAGTGTGGGTATCTCTCTCGCCCTTACTACCTTCATTATGGGAACGATAAATTGTGTGTGTATTGTAAGCATGACAACCACCCATCGAGCCCTTATGAGATATTGGTGCTTGATTTTCCTGTTAGTCGTGTTCTTCCCCCTGAACTCTGTGTGGATTCTTGTTTCATAGTCAAGGTTCATGGTGATTTGTTGTAGCAATCTCCTTCTCTCCGGTGCAATCGCCTATTTCCAGGTCCTCGCTATCTGCAGATTTGCTGCGATTAATATGTGAAATACCAAGAATGCCTGAGATTTTGTGTACCTATCTGTCATAAATAGTAACCCTCACTCGGGCTGCAGCTTCATTGTCATGTGTAAGGCCTCAGAACTTTTTTTAACCACCCCCCAATATTCTTTAATGGGTTGACAGAATATTCGTGCCCTCTTCCTTCCCACATCTCCAGCATTTAAAAAAAAAAAATTTTTTTCAAACCTAGGGATAAATATTCGCTAGCCTGGTTGGCACCATGTACTAACTGTACTGGATCTTGCGCATTAACTCCAAATGTGACGCACATCAGGATTTGCCCTCTGTCATTGTTCTCTCAGAAATACTTTGCCTATGTCCATCTGCAAAGCCTCTCTACCCTGATCTGACACATTAATTGATTTTGTTTAGTATCGCATATATACTTGATAGTGTTGTTTTTTTTTTTGTTTTTTTTTTTTATGATCATAGATTCGCATATGTGTTATACTTTTTCCATCGTCTTTGGGGTGACTCGCTCTCTAGGAGTGATTTGAGCTGCAAATATGAGTACATAGTGTGGTGTGGTAGGTTGTATCGCTTTTGGAGATCTGGGAATTGCATTAGTGTGTTGTGTTGGTAGAGATGTCTGACCAGTGTACATCCGCCCTGTGTCCATGGCCGGTAGTTCAAGGTCGGGTTGACAATTTGAAGACTATACAAGGGAGTCGCTAACGCCCATTTTTTTTCGTGTAATCCATGTGTTGTCTGGCTGCATCCCATGTTTGCAGTAGTAGTGACGTGATATTGGGCATATCCGGTGTTTTGGGGCGCAGTTTATGGGGTTTCCAATACAGGTACTTAGGGCACGTGCACATCGATTCCATTTCTACCCATTGTGGCCTTTCGTCCGACTTGTGAGACAAAAGGACCATGCATACGAGGGCCGCTTTCTAGTATAAGCGTATATCGTGCAGCCCCAAGCCTCCATCTTCTATAGTTCTACATAATACCTTAGTTGATATGCGTATTTTACGATTTGCCCAGACAAATCTAGTTAAGATCTGTTGAAGTTTGTGTAAGTATGCATTGGGCAGGTGAATTTGCAGTGTGCGTATCAAGTAGTGGAATTTTGGTAGCACAACCATTTTAATAGCAACTATTCTACCCACCCATAATAAGTATTTGTCTTCCCAACTTTTCAAGGTTTCAGTGATCTTTCATTAGTCTACCATAGTTAAGTTCGTGGAGACCTGTTATATTTTTTGGGATCCGCAATCCCAAGAAGGTGAGAATAGTTGTCTCTCTAATCTAAGGGGAACGCAGTTTTCAAATTGGGCACTCCCACCCCCATCGCCTGCGTTTTCATAACATTCAGTTTATAGTATGACTGATCACCATAGGAGTGTATTTTGTTCAGACAGTGACATCTGTGGCTGCGTGAGTGTCAGCAGTACGTTGTCTGCGAACAGGTTGGCTTTGTATTCTTTCCCCCCCACCTGCACGCCATGAATGGATATTTTCTCTCTAATTTTTATCGCCAGAGGTTCCAATGCCAGGACGTATAATATGGAGGGGGGAGGGGGAGAGGGGCCTGTCTTGTGCCATTTGTGAGCTGTAAGGGATCCGACAGAAACCCAGAGTTTAACACCTGCGCTGATGGTGAGCTATATAAGGCCTCTATCACTGACCCAAACCTTGACAGAACTGCCTTTTAGGTGCAATCGTTCAAAGGCTTTTTCTGTGTCAGGGAGAAAGCTGTGTCTGAAGCTTATGGAAGAGGTTTATGACCTTTCTTATGTTGTCCGATTCCTGCATTCTGCGGACAAAGCCAACCTGATTTATGCACGACATGTGGTAGTATGGACCCCAGTCGTACCGCGTATAGTTTGGCGAACAATTTCGCATATTATTCAGGAGTGATAAAGGGCGAAAATTCTGTGGGGATGTTGGAGGTTTGTTTGGTTTTGGGAGTGTTACGATATGGGCTAGAAGTATTTCTTTAGGTAGAGTTTTATTGATAATTGCGTCGTTGAATGTCTGCACTTTGCAGTCTAACCCCATCTAGGTATTCCGCAATACCCCTGTCTCTTGGCTGCCTGGTTAGTCTGTCGTCTTATAAGTTATAGAGCCTGGAGTAATATCTAGTGAATTCGCCACTAATGTCTTTAGGTGTCGTGACCTTGGTTCCCTTACTGTTTACCAGATATATCTTTTGATTTGACAGTTTTTAGACGTCATGCTAAAAGTTTACTCGCTTTGTTGCCTTGTAGGTAGTGGGACAGTTTCAATTTTGACATATGTCTACCAACCTGGTCTATGGCCTGTTGGTGTATAAGTCTGGTTATTTGGAGTTTGTCATTTCACCGCTACAGTCGGTGTAATCTGATTTTGGGTATTCAGGTCGTATAACTCCTGTTGCAACTCCCTAAGTTGTAGTTTGCATGAGCTTTTCAATATATGCTGCCCTCCGTATCAACAGCCCCCGTACCACGGTCTTGTGGGCCATCCACACTGTTGTGGGTGTTGCCTCCCCTGTGTCGTTGAGTTTCAAGTAGGAACGTAGATCCTCATTAAGTTCTTTTGTAAAGCTCCCATCGTGCAACAGGGATTCGTTGATTTTCCACAGGCTGCAGTGTTTAAAATAATATATATGTTTTAACTCCAGCAGCACTGGTGCATGATCCAACCATGTGATTTTGTTTTATGTCGCATGAAACTATTTGGTTTAAGTTGGAACCTGAGATGAGAAAGCTATCTATCCTAGAGTAGGAGTTATGGACTGTGGACAAGTGCGTGTATGCCTTGTCCTCCGGTTGTGGGATTCTCCACGTATCATAGAAGTGATATTCATGGAGGAGTTTTTGAATGGCTTTGCATTGACTTTTTAAAGGCCGATTTCTTCGGCTGTGTTGGGAGAGGGTGGTGTCCATTTTGGGGTCGCAATGACATATCTGCCGTTGATGTCAATGTCTTGGGGTTGTAGGTTAAACGTGATGTCTCTGTTTAGAGATAGACGCCCCTCTAGATTTGGTGGGGGATGTGGAGTGGTATTGGTGAGGGAATTCTGTTGTCAGTATCTTAGGGAAGTCATTGTTTCTAAAAAAAAAAATGGATCTCTTGTAAGCACAATATTTCAGCATGCAGTGTTTTAAGGTCTCCAGTGAGAAGATGTCGTTTCGCTAGGACATTGAGTCCCCGCACGTTAAAGGTACATATTCTCATGGTGATTGCTGTGTACGGATTGCGGTAGATTGTGTTAAACAATTTATGATTGTGAGGGCCAACTCTCTCCCCAGCATTAACAAGCCACGCAGTGTTTCCCTCAGTTCCCTCATAGTGATATTCCCCAATGTAGGAGGGAGAGATTAGATTAGTCCTTGTGCTGTTAGGATTTGAAGCACGAGCATGAAGCAGTGTGGGGCCACCCACAAGCCCCCTTCTATGATAGCAAGCAGTATATCAGCAAGAAAATATATACATAAACAATGAACACCAGAAAAATGGCTAGGCACTGCATCTTCATGCCATGGGGGTTGAAGCTCCCTCCCCAAAGTGCTTCACATATAAACACTTATTTTACGTAAGCCCAATACATTTGTGCACCTGTCCCTAGCATAGAATCCCTAAGTGATATGGAGGTACAAGCAGGCAGTTGCACGTATGTCGGAACCTTAGGTCAATTCCGAGCGGATCGTGCGCTAGCCCCTAGGCACTGCGGCTTAGTTGGACACTGGTAACATTTGCCAGCTATGCTCTATCCTGGTGCCCTTAATTGGTACCAGCTTCTCATCTAAGCAAGGTTTTTTTTTGGTTGTAGTTTTCACCATGGATCCTATCAGGGCATAACAGTGCCCAGGGACTTATACATGGATCCCTTGTGGGATAACGTTTCATTAATCCCCTTTGCTATGGTACATGACACTCTCCTGCTTTTGGTTACAAGGTTATAACATTGCCATTACTACATTACTCATCCCGGTATCGGTTATCATGGCATGTGCGGTCAGGGCCCCTTTTTCATGGATATTGAGCATGCAATGGTCCATTTATCTTTTCTTCACTCCTTCCATTCTGGGGAGATTCTAGCTGTATCTTTCTCAGCGCTTGGGTGGTTCGATGGTGTGATGTCCCAGGATCGCAGCATTCGGTCCCCGTCCTCAGGAGTCTGTATGATTGTGGTCTTCCCTCCTGGTTACTAGGAGTTTAGTAGGATACCCCCATCGATAGGGTAGACTATGTTCTTGCAGTATTAAGGTAATAACTCAGCAGTCTCGTCGTTGTTTGTGTATAGGCCGATACATCGGTGAAAATAGTTATTCCCCTGTATTCAGCCAGTAGGCCTTTGCTCGTTCTGTTTGATTGATGATAGCCTCCTTAACATGGAAATAATGCAGTCAGAGCAGTACATCTTGTTGCGTTTCTGGGGCTTTGCTGTGCGATGAATCCTGGGCAGATCAGGTACTAATAACCACAGTAGGCCTGTAACACGGGCCATGAGGTTGTTTGCGCCCACTCTTTCTGCAATGCCCTTAATTCAAAGAAAAGAAAGGTACCTGCGCTCTCTACTTAATCCCTATGTATATTTAGACAAATGGAGGTCATTTAGGTGCTCCAATGGCCATTGGAAGGAATGCCCGCCTGCCAACGTCAAGGCAGACCCCTCCCTAAAGCGGGTTCTACACTAACTTTTCAGCCTGCTTCCTTGAGCTTCTGGCAAAGATATCTAAAATGTCTAAATATACATAGGGATTAAGGAGAGAGCACAGGTAACTTTTTCTTTTCTTTGGTTTTTACTATATATTGGGGCTGATGTGTACTGTAGTCATTGCTGCCATCCCAGTAGTGATGGGAGTGAGCACAGGACTTATCTTTTTGTAATGCCCTTAATTCGCAGGTTATTTCTGCGGGCCTGGTCCTCCATGTCTGCTAATTTCACATCTTGAGCATTTATCCTGGACTTCAGCCCCTCCATTCTGCCCGCCAGATCATTGTGCGCTTTAGCAATCTCCGACATTTTATCCTCAACATGAGAGGTTCGGTTACCCAATTCTAGTAGATCTTTGCGGAGGTCTTCTAGTGCGGTGTCAAGTTTGGATAATTTTTCAGACAACTAGTTGAGTAGGCTTTTCATCAGGCCATGTGTCAGCGAGGGGTCTGGCTCTGGTAGCTGCGCGGCCTGTTCAGGCTCGTCATCCGCGCCATCTTGGGCCTGATCCGGCGGCTGTAAGTTCTTACTGTGCCCATCTTTGGAGACAAAGAAATTTGTCTTTTCTGACCTCTCTGTGGTTCTCTTCCCCTTGGGTTGTGATATGTTGGTGAGTTGGTGGCTTTCTTTAGGGCTTAATTGCTCAGTAGAAGCTCTCACGAAGCAGGACACGCCTCCTGCGAGCTATGTTTTTAAGATGGAATCTACAGGATTGTAGCATACTGGATGTGAGTCTCAAAGGTGAGGCAAGAATAAAGTTTAACGCCAAGACAGTGCGCTTGCAAGGATGGACTGATGTAGATACCACTAACTTGAAGAGAGAGCAAAAGAGGAGGATCCGTATTAGGTGGAGGAACGACCAGGATCTTAGTTTTCTAGAGATTGAGTTTCAAAAAGCGGGAGGACATGCGACAGAGATGGAAGACAGGCAAGCTATGACATGTTGCAGGACGGCAGGGGAGAGGTCAATTAGATTATCATTCGATTAGAAAGCGCCAAAGAACAAATATGGTATAAAATTGAACAATCTTTGATTCAGACTGAGCAGTGCAATACTGATCTGAGCTCTTTATTCTGGCAAATAAATAATAAACAGAGAAGCTCCTTTATAATCAAACTTGACAGCATATTAAAGTGTTGGGAGAAATGCATAAAATATTTATCCATTCAAAATAAAAGAATGACTTGCCTTCCTATAGTTTATCTATCTTATAATATAGTTGACCTTAACATACAAAATTGGTTTAAACTAGGGATGCACCAAAATGAAAATTTTGGGCCGGAATCAAAAATTCAGGATGCCCTTTGCCGAAAATACTTTTTTCACCAAATGATTTAAAAAAAATGTTTTCCTATAATATTATTATTAGACTTTTTAATGAATGTAATTAATCTAATATGAAAAACTTCCCTTCTCTTTTAGTGGTCCCCCCTGCTTAATGATACTCTCTGCCCGCCCTCTTTTTTTAGTGTTCTTTCCCCTTCCTTCCCCAGTCCTATAGTGTTCTTTCCTCCCCCTCCCCATATTTTCTTTCCTCCCGTTTATATTTCTCCCCCTCCCGTCCATATTTTTTCTTTCCCCCTCCCGTCCCATATTTTCTTTCCTTATTTTTTCCCCCTCCCGTCCCATATTTTCTTTTCCCCCTCCCTGTCCATATTTTTCTCCCCCCCTCCCCTGTCCCATATTTTCTTTCCCCTCCCTCCCTGTCCCATATTTTTCTTTCCCCTCCCCTGTCCCTCTTCTTTCCCTTATTTTCTTTTCCCCTCCCTCCCTGTCCCATGTTCCTCTCCCTTCTGTCCCCCCTCCTGTCCATATTTCCCCTCCTGTCCTATTTTTCTCCCTCTCTCCCTGTCCCATATTTCTCCCCCCTCCCTGTCCCTATATTTCTCCCTCCCCTGTCTATTTCTCCCCTCCTGTCCATATTTCTCCCCTCTGTCCATATTTTCTCCTGTCCCATATATTTCCCCCTGTCCCATATTTCCCCTGTCCATATTTCCCCAGGTCCCATATTTCCCCCCATATTTCCCGATCCCATATTTCCCCCATATTCCCATATTTCCCCAGGTCCATATTTCCCCAGTCCATATATTTCCCCAGGTCCCATCTTTCCCAGTCCCATATTTCCCCCAGGTCCCATATTTCCAAGTCCCATATTCCCTGCCCCCATTTCCCATTTTCCCCGTCTATATTTTCCCCAGATATTTCAATCCCATATTTCTCCCCATCCCTGTCCCATATTTCCCCCCTGTCCCCTGTCCCATATTTCCCCTGTCCCATATTTTGGTCCCATATTTCCCCCAGTCCATATTTCCCCAGTCCCCATATCATTCCCCATCCCATATTTCCCCGGTCTCCATATTTCCAGTCCCATATTTCCCCAGGCCCCCATATTTCCCCAGTCCCATATTCCCCCGTCCATATTTTCCCCCTCCCCATAGATCCATTCCGCCCCCCCAGGTCCCATATTTCCCTCCCATATTTCCCCAGTCCCTCTTCCCCATGCCGTCCTTATTTCCCAGGTCCATATTTTCCCCAGATCCCTCCCATTTTCCCAGATCCATATTTCCCATCATTTTCCCCTCGCTCCATAGATCCCCCATATTTTTTTCCATATTTTCCCAGTTTTCATCCCCATGTTTTCCCCCATTCCATATTTCCCTCTCCCGCTCTCCCCCTGATATTACTTCAAAAGTGTTGGTGGCGTCTCCTAGGGGCAATGTGACAAATCTCTCTGAAAGGCTCAATCCTATTTAAACATACTGTATTGTGGCCCCCCAATAGTGTTCTTCAGTGGCCACTTGGAGGTCTCCCTAGGGGCAATGTAAACAGGCAAATCTCTCTGAAAAGGCAGTGTGCTTGAAAATGCCTGCATTTAATTATACTCACCAGAACAACTACAGTAAGCTGTAGTTGTTCTGGTGACTATAGTGTCCCTTTAAATATATTGGAAAAGCTATTGACAAATCCTACTCAAACAAAGTTAGTAGCTGGTTGTCTAGAACTGGTTAATAGTGATCTTGATATACCTATTGAACCCATTATTAAGGAGTGGGGCACAGAATAAATTTTCAAATTAGTTGCGATCAATGGAGGAACTCTTGGAACGAGGTTTATTAAAAACGTTCACTGTCTCAACTTATTGGAGAGCCACTACAAGCTCTTAAATAGGGTGGTACTTGGTTCCAAGTAGCTTGTCCAAGATCTTTTCAGATCAACTACATAATTGCTGGAGATGATCAGGAGTAAGATTCAAGCATTAATTTGTAAACCTTTTTATTTTTGTCCTGATCTATTTAAATCTTAGCTCAACATCCGACATGTTTTTGGAAATCACTCCCCCGTGGTTACTCTCATACTGCTAGCTGCAAAAATTATGATGGTCAGACAGTGGGAAAACACAATTTTTCCAATTTGGTCTCTGGTTAAGGAGCAGCTGAAATTACAACTAAAAATGGAAAGTGGCATTACTAAGGTTCCCCAAGATGTGATTTTATGGTTAGATTTCATACAGAGTTCTCTAAAGGGTGATTATGCTCCTTGATGGTTCGTTTATTTCTAGTATCTATTCCATACTTGTATCAGTCTGACCCAGGGTTGCCCCCATGATTTCGTACTAACTCCAGGACTCCACCTTGGGGACTCACCCACTGACGCAAGGGACATATGAAAAATAGTTTTTTAGCAGTTTTGTTTTGTTTGTCCAATGTCTGTTTTAAGTTTGTTGTCTATTTGTATTTTGCCTACATTGTACACTGATTTTGAATGCTTGTCTATGATCTGGTCATTATGTATTACTACATGCATACTTTGTAGATTACATTTTGTACAGCAAGTGTTATTAATTACATAATGTGTAATTATATGGATAATTAATAAAAAATAAACATTGAAGAAAAAATGCAATAATTACATGCTCAGGGTCGAGGTTAATGAGTTTGCACCCATACCACTTCAGTGAGCTGAAGCGGCCTGGGTGCCTACAGTGTCCTTTTAAAGGGACACACTGGGCACCAAATATTTGATAGATTTTTTGCCTTTAATATGCTAATATTATGTATTTTTGCAATTCTGCCTCCTTAGCCATGCCCCTTATGAGAAACCACAAACTGGTAGTGATATCTTCACTATATACCTCCCTGGCCATCCTCTCCTTCTAATGCAGGTTGCTTTGTAGTTGATCACTCAGTACTGTGAATGACTGAGCTCAGTGCATACCTTTTGATAAGGAAGTCTTTTTCAGCATTGAATGGGTGTGGCTAGAGGGGCAGCCTTACACAAAGCATTTAACTATTTTATGAAGGGAAAAAAGCGACAAAATAGCATATTAATGTAGCCAAAATGTGTCAAATGCATTAAAGTAATATTGGTGTCCAGAGTGTTCCTTTGAGTTAAAGGGACACTGTGCTTACTATAATCTTTTAATCTCTTTGGATTCCCCAGACATTTTAGAGTAGTATAACACTAAATAAGGTTCCCGAGCCACCAATGAAAAGACAGCGGATGGATGCCTGTGGACACAATTTCTGTGTAAAACTGTATGTAAACTAGAAGTTGAGATGGTGACAGGGGCATTACAACAACATATCAGTTCCCTTGTTCCTTTAAGTTGAATTCTGAAATGGTTTGCCTTTTAAAGATCTTAATATTTTTTTCCCCACCCTCTCATCAATAGACATGCCACTTGCCTATTGTGTTTGATGGAAATTTCAGACCTAATTTTACCACATATCTCTAACATAGTGAAGCATAAAAAGCTTTTCTGTAACCTTGCAATTCATTAGGTGAATCCTGAACTCCGAACAGAGCTGGAAGCTCGAGGTCTACATTTTGTTGGTCAAGATACAGAAGGGGAGAGGATGGAAATTGTGGAGTTGGAAGGTATATACCACCCTTTCCACCTGTGTACATTGTGAGCTACAATGATGTATATAATTATCTTTTTGTGTACTTACTGTGACCCATTTGCATTACAGATCACCCATATTTTGTTGGTGTCCAGTATCATCCAGAGTTTACATCTCGTCCTATCAAGCCATCACCCCCATATTTTGGTCTCCTCTTGGCATCGGCAGGGAAGCTTACTCAGTACTTAGAAAGGGGTTGTCGCCTTTCTCCCAGGTAGGATTTCCTACCTAAGGCAGGACATGTAGGGATTTCTAGTTAAGAAAAGTAATGCCCTGTAATACCAAATATATTTTCTATTTTTGTGACCGCATTGGCAATCCCCTGGCCTCAAAGCGATGCTGCTAATCTTTAACCATTCTTATCTACGTGCGCAAGGATATATATTTTTTTCTTTCAGTGGGCTAGGCATTTATAACTATGTATTCAATGTGTGCATGTTTAGTTAAATGCTCTTTGTGCTGTCACTGTGTGTCTCAACTTGTTTATGGAGATATTGACTGCTGTTTCTTTTTGCCCCACAGAGATACATACAGTGATAGAAGTGAAAACAGCTCTCCAGACACAGAAATCGCAGAGCTAAAGTTCTCATTGATAAATCACAATTGATCACTGGTAATGCATATAGGGCTTGTCATGTTTTCCAAATAACTCTTAATGTTGTCACCTTTTATGTGCAGTTAAAGGTTCACCACATTAGTCTGCATAGATCGCAATGTTTAAACCCATTAGATTTGTGCACAAATCCCGATTATCTGTTGATCACTGGAAAAACAAATCGATTGTTTGTATTCTGATTAACAGGCACTAGTTCTTTCAGCACAGATGCACAAGTCTGCTGTATATCCTCTAAGAGGTATTCATACTAAATACGGAATGGACAAAATCACCTGAAAACCATGTCCTGTTAAACCAGAACAGATCGCAGAGAGTGTCTCAATAAAGAAATTAAGGATTTATGATGTTCTGGGTTGTCAGTGGGCACATGAAATAAATATATAAATATATATATATATATATATATTTTTCGTCTGAGCCATCTTCTAAGGCACATTCATTTGTTTTGTTATTTAATTACCTCATCAGTCACAGGTACTTGAGATGTTTTAGCTGTTTTTAAAAGTCACCTATATTGTGTTTTATTTTGTTTGCAGTTGGATTGCTTGCATAATGCGAAAGGCATAGATTAATGCGCTATTACCCACGCAGGGGTTCCGTTTTTTCATAGGCATAGGATAATGGATGCACATGTGCCTGCGCAGAGGCTAAGTAAGGTTATACAAAACAATATCTGTCATCTGTATATTCCATGCTTATAGTATCTGGATTACGGATCTGCGGTGCACATCGCCTACTCAAAATAACATTAATCTCATGCAGAGCAAGATATAAGCATCATGTAAATTAACGTAGAGAGCATTTGATCACCGTCACTGAGGCATACACATGAACTCATGCGCCCCGGTTGTGCATATGTACCTATTTTTTCGTACACTCAGGGTAAGCCTGGTGCACTTAATGTGTTCCAGATATGTATCGTATGCGCGGTGTCCAGTGGCCTGGGCGGGCCCATTAAAATAATAAATCCGCAGTCAGTGGCTATGTGCTATAGCACCTGGTGACAATGCGTGAGAAAAGTGCCAGCTTTAATTGTGTATTTTGGCAGACGTCCACTGACTTATATAGGGCGCAGCTCGCGGGGAGAGGGCTTTAACTGTTTAAATCCGCCCATGTATAGCGCTCTGTGCTGAAGCCTCATTAACGGTCACAAAAGTTATAGTAATGCATTCAAAAATGCCTAACCGTTATACGCCCAGGTAGCGGTCAGAGCAGGTCTTCATAATGGGCAACAGCTCTCACCGGTGTAAATCTCCACCAACATCCGTATAGCTGGTGTGCTTGTTCCTCCGGCCAGGCAATCAGGCATCCATTCTCTGTCTGCAGCTGTCCTCATGCAGGCCTATGCAGTTGTGTGGGCCAGGTTAATCAGTCTCGGTGTTCCCCTTGAATTTTTGGTCATAGTCTGGTATCATATGGTTGCTTGGGTAGTACCTCATTGCATTGTAGCATGTAATCCGGCCCTGGGGCAGGTTGTGAGCGTGTTTTATGCCGTTGTTTAGGGCTTAAGCTCGGAGCCACGTTGCTATGCTGCTTGGCGGGCCGGCCACGTCCCCGTGTTTTGCGTATTTTGTTTGGTTTTTTTTCTCAGGTTTTTTTTTTTTTTTTCTCTCATTGAGTGCAAGGTATTCACTATATTTCCATAGACCCTTTTGGATATTTGTAAAATGCCAGTCCACACACCTTATACATTGGTTTTGTCTAATCTAGTGCTTTTCTAACATTTCGTTATAAGCAACAAACAAATTCAGAGTTATTTATTAAAGTGAGAACTAAAACTAAAAGGTTTAAAATTTAAATTCACTTCGAATTTTCACTTTAGTGTATAACTCTGACTTCAAGGCTCTTGTAGTCATGCAGTATGCATGTGTAATGTGTCCGTAAAATGTTGAGAGTAACTGGTCCAATTATAATCTTAACTTGCTCACATCTCACCACAAGCAGAATTTGTCTACAGTGTAGTGCGCGCTTATGAACTTAACACGTTAACGCAGTTGGGGCAGGCTATGACTTAAGCATGACCTAACGAGCAGCACACAGGCCCAGATACATACATCCATTGCGATCCCAGGCAGTCCCCCTTACAGCAAATCCCACCAATCAACGCCATGGTCGCCAGTTAACATCACTGTCTGCAGGGGCCACTCCTTGGGTTGTCAGGCAGATCCCCCAAGTTATAATTCCTAAAAAGAACATTTTTAAAAACTCATAATTATGGGGAGGAAATATAAATACACACTAAGAATATTTATTTATAGTATCAAAATCAACTTGGAATAAAAATATATATTATTCTGTGTGTGTATTCATTTTACATAATTATGTGATTTTTATTCATTCTAATTTGAGGGGTTTGCCTTGCAAAGAATTCTCTTCTAAACAAAGAGAATTTAATTTGCAAGCCCTATATGTGACCCTGGATCTTTGCAAATACTACATAAAACCTGTTCATGGGTGGTACTGATGTACTTGTGAAACATCACTGAACACAAGTATGAGTATTTTAGAGGAGTAAAATGTATATTGAAGAAATCAATAAAAGTTTTTGTGTGAAAAATGCAAAAAACTAATATGACCGTTAATGTTATCTAGGGTTTCTGACAAAGTGGCTATTAAAAAAGACTGTATATGGGGGGCAGGAGGTATCATGGAAGTGTTCCTTTATGTTAGGTGTATAAGAAAACTATATATCAAGGTAGGAGATTTGCCTGTAAGCTTTATACTTAAGCATTGTCTTCTCTCTTTGTTTTAGGCGGTGTTTATTTATTGCCCCATGAAGAAGCAATCTCAGATAAGATAACCCTTTTGATTTCTAAACTTTTGTTTAAAGCCATCATACCAACTCTTTGTGTTTACCATGGGTATGATGCCATTCCCTCATCTGTTTAAGACTGTAGGTTTCTATAGATCGTATTGTCATTCCTCTGGAGCAGATACTTGGTGGCGATTCAGCAGCACTGGAATGGAAGAGCATGATGCTGCCAGCCACAGAGTATTTGAGAGAGCTTCTTCTATACTAGACATGCTGCGTGACAAAGCAATAATTGAGGATTTATTCTGTTCTTGCTTGTATTTAAGACATTCCAAAAAGATCATGATTTTAGTTTGCAAATATCTGAACAAGTCCTTTGCACTGAACAGCTGACACCTGATGCCTGAAACCTTTTTAATATGCTAGTGGTCTTTTTGATCTGCAGGTGTTATTGAAGTATTTACTGAATATTGACTTTCGCTCTCTCTCTTCAATGCAATGGGTTAGTATATTTTCCATTGCTAGTTACATGACCTAGTAATTTACTTGGCTTAAGTGCTACAGACATTTACAAACACACCATTTGTCACCCCATACTGCCGTCCTGAAAGATTGTATTTGGGACCCAGGTAGTTCAATTTTTGAAGGACAGTCAATGTAATGCTCTACCCAGGTCTTTACGTGTGTTTACTTACATGGTGACTTTCTACAAGATCTCTATTACCTGTCATTAAGTGTTTTGTTCCTGCATCCATTACCTGCAAACGACTAATGCATACATGACTACTCTTTCCAGAGCCCGTTCTGTGCCAAAACCTGTAATTTTTTTTACAATAGAATATAACCTTTCCTTGGACTGAAGGAATAGAACATTTAGGGATGCCTGAGTGTTTTATTGTCTGGGTTTTCTTTAGTTTGAATATTGTGTTGGTCATAAATAACTTTGCATAAGGCGTTTCAAATAAAGCTGGTTGGTGAGTTTTTTTAAATGTGTGTGTTTATTAGTCATCTTAAAGTTATTTTATTTTGGTTGGTGAAAATACCAAGGAGCTTTGCGTATCACTGGAAATGGAATGGTCACATATATTGCACTGACCCAGGTATTTTATCAGGTAACGTGTCAAGGTAACATTCAAAATGTAGATGAATGCACAAATGGTGTAAAAATAAAAATATAATCTGCAATTTTATTTTTTCTATGCCTTTGGATTACCATCTGAGGAATTTCACCATCACCACAAGTTAATTTGAGATGTTAAAAAATGACTCCTGATGAGCTAAAGCATTTTTATAATTGCCTTTTTATGTTCTTTCAAGTGTAAAAATTTGGTGCATGCCAATTAGAGCACGGTATTTAATTTCTTTAAATTAACGGGGTGGTGGGGCCCCGGAGACTGTTCAAAAAACTATATATGTAGATATATTCCTGTTTGTAGGAAGGTATTTAATGAAAATTGGAACAAAGTACTTATTCTACATTATTTCTGAGATTGCAGTGCCATTAAATTGTTTAAACATATCATAGGCAAGCGGACTAATCATTGGTTTCCTTAAACCTTTTTTAAAAGCTTGAAGAAAAAAAAAAATGCAGAAATAATTATTTATAATAATCAAGTCTAGTCTGCACTGAGTAACTGGAATTAAAGGCTAGCTAGAACAGCAGTTCCCAAACTGTATGCTGGGGTGCCGCAAATTGACCCATCGGGTGACCCATTCACTTAAGGCCACCAGTTAGGTAAACTGATATACTGCTCATCGGGGGACCGGTCTGGCGCAACTTTTGAAGAGTCTGACCGGCCTCCTGTGATATCGGCAGGAATGTCTATTCCTCCCTGCTTCATAAAGCAACACCCGGGAGGGGAAAAAAGGCTGGAGGTAGCAGTCAAGCTGCAAGAAGACTACGGCGAACTGTTGCACACACACTCCCATCAGCCTCAGCCAGGACACCAAGCAAGCCACCCTTCTGGACTCCAGTTAAGCCTTGTTAGATCATGTGTGTATTTGTGTCAAGGTGCGTGTGTGCGCATCACTCAGTGTGAGCATTTGTGTACCAGTATGTGTATGTATGTCAGGGTGTTCATCTGTGCGTGTGTTTGTCATCGTATGTATCTGTGTGTCATGGTGTGTATGTTTTAGTATGTGTGTGTGTGTGTGTGTATATGTATGTATATATATATATATATATATATATATATATATATACACAATACACAAGATCCAGCGCACTCACCTATCCACTAAACAGCAACTTCAATGTTGAAAGATTTTATTTGTTTTTAAAAACACCTAATCTAGGCAAAAATAATGGGGTTTAGTTACATTATATGATCATACATTGCATAAGCCTGCCACAACGTCAATGTACCCCATCTTTGGCAGGTCCTACACTAACAGCCTAATGTCTGCTCTTATGAGATTAACCTACTTGGGGAAAATAATTCCATCTGGGGGCAGTCTCTGCAGTACAAGGCTAAATAGGGCCCTGGGATGAGGCACCTGTGACAGGGAGGGGTGCAAAACCAAGGTGCACCCCTCCCTGTCACAGGTGCCTCATCCCAGGGCCCTATTTAGCCTTGTACTGCAGAGAGCCCCAGATGGAATTATTTTCCCCAAGTAGGTTAATCTCATAAGAGCAGACATTAGGCTGTTAGTATAGGACCTGCCAAAGATGGGGTACATTGACGTTGTGGCAGGCTTATGCAATGTATGATCATATAATGTAACTAAAACCCCCATTATTTTTGCCTAGATTAGGTGTTTTTAAAAAAACAAATAAAATCTTTCAACATTGAAGTTGCTGTTTAGTGGATAGGTGAGTGCGCTGGATCTTGTGTATTGTATTATTTGGCCCCCAGCAGCACCCCCATTTATGCATGTTAAGGTGAGTGCAGCCAACCCCCTCTTGTTTTATATATATTTATATATATTGTCTTTGTGTGTATATATCTGTATAATTATGTTTGAATGTGGTAGTGTATAAATCCAAGCAATCAAACACCAACACTACATACAAACACACTCAAGCAGTCTAAAGCGAACAATACATACAAACACACCCCTGTATTAAAACAGTAAGATTATATACAGGCACATTTAAACACTATACATTACGTTATATAGTGCCATTATATGCCATAGCGCTTTACAGATTTACAACCTAGAACTTTATTTTGACTTGGGGTGCCATGGAAAAATATTGATAAGTGTGCATTGAAGCTAAAAAGTTTGGGAACCACTGGTCTAGAAGATAGAGGTGCAGTATGCAAAAAAAGGGAATGCAGCAACTGGCTGCATTTTAGACTGGTATTCTCCTCTGCTAAGTTTAATAAATAAGTGTAGTGTTTATTAAAGTTGGCTATCCTTGGGACTGTCTGCCCCTCCTCTTGGAAAATAAACATATAAAAATAAAAAACTTTAGCTACTCAAATCTAGTGGAGGTCACAATAATACAAATTGCTTTAAAAAAAAAAAGGTTAAAATATGTATTTAGCCAATAGGGCATAAACCCACGAAGCTGCACATATAACTTCCATTAGAGTATCCAACTAACCAACATGTCTATTACCCCTGTAAGAACACTACAAGCTGGTATGTCTTGTATTTGGATACAATCTGCTAAAGTGTGGTGTTTATTAACTTTCCCATCTGGTGTTTCTCACAGTAAAACCAGTCAGCCCTCTTATTTTTCACCATACCCCATGCCAACAAATGTGAAAACATGGTTACATTGTGCAATAGGTATAAATCCTAATTGTGTGCTATCTCTTTTAATTCCATTATAAGCTATTTGTGGTTTCTTATTTTCCCAAATAAAGGAGAGGAGTGGTTTTTTTTGTTTGTTTTTTTGGTTTTTTTTTTCTCCAGGATGATACCTGGCACTCGCAATGGAATGATCCTAAACAATAACACCCTTGGAACCAGATAAGTTTTCACAATGTTTATTCTTTCTAACAATGATACCTTTTTTCATAATTACAGATTAAAGGACCACTATAATGCCAGGAAAACAAACTCGTTTTCCTGGCACTATAGGGTCTTTGGGTCCCCCCCACCCTCAGGGTCCCACTCCCGCTGGAAGGAAGGGGTTAATCACTTACCTTTCTCCAGCGCCAGGGATATCTCCTCCCTCTTCGAACGTCAGCGCTGTATGCACATGCGCGGCAAGAGCCGCAAGCGCATTCAATCAGTCCGTGGGAAAGCATTTCTCAGTGCTTTCCTATGGCCGGCAGCGTCTTCTCACTGATTTTCACAGTGGGAAGCCACTCTAGCAGTTGTCAATGAGACAGCCGCTAAAGACTGGATTAACCCTAATGTAAACAAAGCAGTTTTTCTGAAACTATGTTTACAGCTGCAGGGTTAACCCTAGATGGACCTGGCACCCAAACCACTTCATTGAGCTGAGGTGGTCTGGGTGCCTATTGTGGTCCTTTAAGCTTCTGAATTAACAACTCATAATTTTCTGGGCTATATCTTTCTAACTCAAGCATTAGTTTTTTCCCAAAATAATCTATTTGAATATATTCCCATATTTACTTTGCAACCATTGATAACCCTTTACTTCCAATTTGGGTTTTTGATAGGTTTAGCTTGTAATTAGAGTAATATTCATATTCCCTAATAATATAACTACAGGAATAGATGTTTTGTGTGTTGTCAGTGTTAATAGTATGTCATCTGCATACAATGTTATTTTAAAGTCCTTGCTGTTCACTACGATGCCCTTTATCTCCTCTGCTTGTCTAATCACTCCTGCCAGTGTTTCAATGGAAAGAGCATAAAGCAGAGGCAATAAAGGGCACCCCTGCCTAGTGCCATTGTGTACATCAAAATGATGAACTCAAAAAGAGACCTGAAATCCATTATCTTGTGTATTGTCCTCCCCCTATCTGCCTAGAATAAATCCAGAATTACTGCCCCCAACCTATCTGTAAGATTTTTAAAGACTATTTTTACATCTAAATTTATAATGGGCCTATAGTTTGATATTATGCTTGGATCCTTCCCCATCTTGGGTATTGGACAAATTGAGGCTTGAAGCATCTCTTTGTGTATGTCCCTTTTCTCATTAAACACCCTTAACAGCAACGGTGAAATCGCGTGGTCTGCTATTTTATGGAACAGTTCTGTAAATCCTTCAGGACCCGGCGATTTTCCTGTTTTCAGTGCCCCAATTTCTCTTTTGACTTCTCCCAAAGAAAGTGGTTGATTTAACCTTTCACAGTTCTCTCCTGTGATTCTTGGGAGACTTAGATTTTGAAGAAAGCTTTCTATTTTAAAATTGGATATTTTAGGTTTGATGTCATATAAAGAACTATAAAAGTTCCTAAATGCGTCTATTTGAGCCAGGTCCAATAAGGTCCTATTATTATCTATTAAGTTTTTAATTCTAGTTCTTAGTTTTTTTGTTTTTATTTATTAGTAAATATTTAATTTGCTCTGTTATTACAGTGATACCATTTCTATTTAATTTTAAAGATGGCTTTTTCATATCCTTCATCTAGTTTCTTTTTAATTTCCTTTTGCCTATTAATTCTGAATATTTTTCTGATGTTTTTATTGGGGGCTATTTTATTCATTCTTTCCTGCTTAGCTAAGACTATATGTAGGTCTGATAAAGACTTCCTTACCTACTTCCTAATTATGTCATTCTTAAGTAAAAGAAAAACCCTTATTGTACATTAAAGAGCATTCCACAAAGTGGGATCCGAGATCTCCTTGTTATCATTAAGGGTCAGAAATTGTATTTTTTGTATAAGTTTGTGCTTGGCTGTGTCCGAATTCAGATTGTAATCCTTCATTCTCCATTCTACTCTACCTTTTGAAGTTTGTTCTCGATTACACAAAAAAAGGGACGTGATATGACCAGCTAATACTGCCAATGTTTGAGGAGGTAAATATTTTAATGCTGTCAAACTTCGTTCACCAAAAGCTTATCCTTGAATATGATAGATGCCTGTTCGATAAAAAGCTATAGTATCTTTCTTATGGTTGTAGTGTTCTTCATATATCATATACATTTTTCCTAAATAGACATTTAGTGAAGTTGTCCGCATAGAGTTTAATTTTATTCAACTTATTTCCTTTCATTCATTTTTTTTTTTTTAATCTAAATTAATATCGGCAATACAGTTTAGATCTCCTCATGATCAAGTCTCCTTTTGAAAACCTTTCCATTCTTTCAATCAGAGAATTCAGGAATTTTATGGGAAAATCATTTGGGGCGTAGCAATTTACCAGAGTATAAATCTTCGTAATTTAAAGGACCACTCCACACCTCAAAAGCACGTTAGCTTGCTGAAGTGCTTTATGGGTCAGGAGTACCCTCATATAACACCAGTTTATTAAAGTGCTGATTTCTCATAGAAATAAGCACTTTTATAAATTAACTGGGGAACAACCCCCTGGCTGTCAAACGGCCATGGAGGATTCCTTCCTACTTCCATTAGCTACCCTGAGCTAATGGAAGTGGCAGGCACACTCAAGTACTCCCCCTCCCCCTGATCGACATCAGACCAGCTTCAGCAGAGCACAAGTGGCGGGCACACATGCAGGCCGCTGTGCGGGATTGTGTGCAAGCCAGCGCATGTGCAAGAGGGTTCACGCGTGCACATGTGGACCAAGTCAGAGGCTTGAGAAGCCTCTGGTTATTTCCCTGAGAAATGACTGGAAGTCTCTTCTGTTAAAAGGGTATATATACACTATACTGTGGGGGGGAAGGGGAGGGTTGGAAGAGTAGAGTGGTCCTTTAATTTACAAATTAAAATTATATCTTCCATTAGTATCCAACTCATGAAAGATATGTTAAAATGTTATGTCCTTAGACAGTATTATTGCTATCCCTTTTTTTTTTTTTTTTCTCCTCTCCCACAGGGAATTTCTTATATCTACAGAAACTAGAGCCTTTGCTGTCTCAATGGGCCTCTTGTGCAAAGCCTATATCAATCTTTTCTTTTTTTACAAGGTCATAAAGGTAGGCCTTTATTTGCTGAGATTTTAGTCCCTTACAATTAATCGTAACCAGTTTGAGATTCGTTAGATATGGTACTTAAAGGACCACTATAGTGCCAGGAAAACATACTTGTTTTCCTGGCACTATAGTGCCCTGAGGGTGCCCCCACCCTCAGGGACCCCCTCCCGCCCGGCTCTGGAAGGGGGAAAGGGGTAAAAACTTACCTTTTTCCAGCGCTGGGCGGGGAGCTCTCTGCCTCCGATCTTCCTCCGTTCCTCCTCCTGGGCTGAATGCGCACGCGCGGCAAGAGCTGCGCGCGCATTCAGCCCGTCGCATAGGAAAGCATTTACAATGCTTTCCTATGGACGCTTGCGTGCTCTCACTGTGAAAATCACAGTGAGAAGCACGCAAGCGCCTCTAGTGGCTGTCAATGAGACAGCCACTAGAGGATTAGGGGGAAGGCTTAACCCATTCATAAACATAGCAGTTTCTCTGAAACTGCTATGTTTATGAAAAAATGGGTTAACCCTAGAAGGACCTGGCACCCAGACCACTTCATTAAGCTGAAGTGGTCTGGGTGCCTAGAGTGGTCCTTTAACCCCAAAGTGCCTATTCCTTACTAAGTTTTTG